GCAAGGGGGTGGGGGGGGGTGACTGGGGTGTTTGTAGAGTTGTAAGAGTTGTTAGGGACGTTTATTTACAAATCTAGGGGTTTAATTAGGGCATTTTTTCGGTCCCATAAACCTTAGACCTGGTGAGACTAGTTGGGGCCTAAAGGGACAAATTAATTTATTATTTCTTCATTTTTCTTACAACATAAACTTGGTTTCTTGGTTCCTCGGTTTTTTCCTGTGGACTATTGAAAATTATGCTTATATGGGGGGACATTGAGTTCCCTTATTGTGGGGGGGAATGTTTAATGTTGGGATCTTTATAAAAAACCATTTGTTTTTCCTAAAATTTCTCTTATTATATCTCTGTAGCCATGGAACCCAGTTTTGGATTACTGGCCAAAAAGTGGTAACCCAAGTTAATTTGTTTTGAAAACTTACCTTTTCTAAATTTCGGGAAAGGATTAGGGACATTTTTTGACGTCGTCTGGTTTTTTAATGGGAAAAAAAATTTCCCCTTTGTATAGTTTGAAAAATAAAACCATTTATTACAAACTTAAAAAAATACCAATCAGAGAGTGTTTATTTAGGTGTTAGTTAAACTGGGCAGCTTCTAAAAAATAATAAAACCTAATTTGTTTCACAGAGCGACTTTTACGGGGGACTTTGGGGGCATCAAAGAGGGATCCAAAGTAATTCAAAGGGGTTCACAAAACAAACCATATCCTAGAAACTTCTCAAGACTGGGGCAGTGGGAAAGGTTTTTCGTCAATTTTTTATTTATCTAAATTTTACTTTTTTTTATTTTTTAACGGGGTTAACAAGGGAAGTTTTACAGGTAGGGGGACAGAAGGATTCTTTTAAGGGACCAAATTTCATATTATTTAAACTATAGATAAAGTTTCTAGTTTTGGGACTTCAAATAATTTCAAAGTTACCACGTCAATGTTTTCATTTATGTAAACCTGTTAAAATGATCCACCCCTTCTTCCAAAGATTCAATTTGGGAATTCAAACCGTATCATATTAATTATAGGAAACGGGGTTTTGTCACAAGGGAAAAAAAAATTGTTACTTGATTCGGGTTAGTCTAAGGTGTTTCATAGGTTGGGGGGACTAGCCTGAAAATCCTTGTATCCGGGTTCGGGGGGGTTGGGGGTTTGCCATGTTTAAATTGTTTATTTATATTATTTTTATTATTGTTTTTTTATATATGTATTAAAAACAGTATTTTCTTCTATATATATTTATAAAAGAATTTGCCCCTTTATTTATTGGAAAATAACTGTCCTTTACTTCACCTTTATCACAACCATGGTTCCTTGGGTGATCCTAGGTAAATGGAAGTTCTTTTTTACTTATATGATTTCGTTACCTTACTGGTTACACTGTCCTCTCTACACTCTCCCAAATTAAAAGGTAGGATTAAACGGTTTATTTTACTTTCGAAAGGAACGGCGGGGGTACCCCTTTATAATTAAATTATGTTTACTAGATAAATTTGGGTTTTTGGTACCATTTTTTTTTTTTTCCGAATTCTATTGGCCATGGGGCTTTTTTGTAGTGGTTGAAAGGCCTTCAAAAAAAAATAAGGCCACCTTCGGTCGGTGGGGGTTGGTAAGTTTTCGCAACGATTAAATTTTATTGATCCCACTGGACCATGGATGGGATAAGCGTTGGCAAATTCCCGGCTTCTATATCAGGCGCAACCTCCGGCATACCCCAACGTTATATTCGGAGGATAGTGGCGCAAACGGTACCCTGTAGGGGGGACGTTTTTGCCGCAGGTCTATTATAAAAACAGTTTTTGCTAGGGGTAAACATACCCGCAAAGTTTATTTTTTCTTTTGGATTTAGCCGGGGGTTGAATTCACTGTTTTTCTTTCCCTGTGTGGCAAAATAAATACTGAAAACAGACTCTCCACCAAAAGAAAATGTGGTTTTTTTTTACCTTTTTTTGTATAAACAAAAGTAATGGTCTATCCGTTAAAAGGGCGTTTTCACGTTTATAATTCAATATTTGTATGGGGGGGTGAACGAAAATATTATAATAAAAGCTTTTGGCCTGTCGGTTTGTTTTCGATAAAGTTTTACGTACCGTTTTTTTCTTTTGTTGATTATACGGACCATGCCAAAAAGGCAAAAAAGTTTGCATTCATTATGCTTGGGTTCAAAACCAATTAAACTAATCTGAGGGCTGTAATTCCCAGTTCACGTGTGGTACCAAGGGACCAAAACCAAAAACCCTGAGGGCTGTAATTCCAGGGTTTCACCGGTGTGGGGGGGGGGGAACAATTTTCCCAAATAACCCAATCGGGAGTGGGCGTTATTTCCAGTGTTCACCGTGGGGACCCAAAACTAAAAACCAATCAGCAGAGCTTGTTTTATTTCCTGGGTCCACGTGCAAAGCCACAAACTATACTTTACTCTCTTTCTTTGTATTCCTCAGGGGGGGGAATTTCTCTGCTCTTTTTGTCAGGCCTACGTTGGTTTTTAAATTAAAAATCTAATTACACTCGCCCTAATCTAGAAAGGTATTGATTTATAAATTTAATCAAAAACGGGAACTTCGAGTACAACTGGAGTTGACATTTGTTTAATGGTAGGTTTTGGAGAAAAATCTTTCCACAGGATTGTTTAGGTATTTTCAATTGGTTCCCCCAACTCTTGTGGATAATAAATTTGTGCCATCCTTCAGGAAAATAATTTTGTTTAGGGGGGGGGATCGGGTTTTGACTTTTTGTTTTAATTAAGTTTTACCCATGGTAAACTAGTAGAATTTTTTAGTTACTATTTTGCAAAACTTTACTCTACTAGTTTACTATGGTTTAGTTAGGTTACTATGTGAGTTTTTAGTTTACTATATTTGATGGAAAAATTTCCCACTGGAAATGTTATTTATACATTTGGTCCCTCTGTTAATTTTCAACTAATTTGTGCATTTCTTAGGAAAAATTTCGTTAAAAACTATATGTTTACCCATTGTTACTATAGATATTAGTTACTTATAGGCAAACTACTTTAAACTTGTTACTATCGGCTACTTTTAGTTTAACCTTTTAGTTACTTTTTGTTTTACTTAGGGTTATAGTACTACTGACTAGGTATTGTACGGTTTTAACTGTATGTTACGTAGGGTTAATATTTAAATGGACAGGGATGACAAGGGAATGGGGAAAGGGGGAATGGAACAAAAGGAATGGACCAAAAGGGAATTGGGGGGGGACAAAGGAATTGAACAAGGGGAATGTTACAAGGATTTGGGGGGGCCAATGGAATGACAGGGATTGACCCACGGGGGAATTCATTGGGAACCAGGGGAATGGGGGAACAAGGGGAATGGAACACAGTGGAATGGGGGGTTGGGAAAACCAATATTCGGACATAACCGTTTGTGAAAAAAAGGGGGGCAACTCTAAGTGTTAAACTAAACAAAAACCACCATAATTTCCTTGGCGATCATTTTCCATGTTTAAGGTTAAGGTTTTAATTGGGTTTAAATTTCCACTCATGAAGGAGTCCACAACAAACAAAAGCCTTCCCATTTTTGGCATGTTCTAATTATTAAAAAATTATAATCCTAGCGGGGAATCTAAGTTTTAAAAAAATATTGGTTCAACTAAAATTTGTTGTTTGTTGTACCGTTAACCAATGTGATAATGTTAGCGTTTACTTTGGCCAGAGGGGGTCTTTGGGTCTTTTCTTAATAGGTTAATAAAAACTTTTTCTGTTGCTATTTTCTATTTAATAAACTTGAGGGGCCTTAGTGAAAGATCACGTGAAAAAGTGGGAATTTTATTTAAATTAACTTTCTAGGAATAAACAAATCCCACTACTCTTCAGCCCGGTTTTTAACTATTCCCAATTGCAAGGAAACTTTGAGGAGCAGGAAAAAAAAATACTTTAGTTTACGGGACAACGTAAAAAATTATCGGGAAATGTGTGAAAAACAAACCCCATTTTTCCAATGTAAAGTACGGTTGTGTTTAACATTTTGAATTGTTTGGAAGGGGCTGGTTTACTTTATCTCACAAACTGGGGGGTGGAGTGTTGGCAGTGTTGGGGATCGTTCCAGAGGCGAACAAATTGAGGGCCCGTCGGACTTTAGGAATATTCAATATTTAAATATTATTTTGATTTGATTTTGGAAAACAATGTTATGTGACCCAACAAAAATGGGGCATTAATTTTCAACAATTTAGATTGGGCATTAATAAAAAGGGTGAGTAGGAAACAGGAGGCTGAAAACAATTATAGGGAGTTGCTTAAAACAAAACGGTTGTTAAGATTATTTTCAGGGATAAAATTTGTAATGCTTCTATAACTGTAGGTTTAATCGTAATGGTTGTTATTATTGTAATTGTGTCTCTGCCTGGGGTCAGTATAAGGGATTAATAAAAAATATTTGGGGTTTTTTTAAATTAGAAATAATATATGAATTATTTTTCATCCCACTTTTTTTACTGGGGGGAGTATTACGGGTTAATGACTTAATAAATTGCAAAAAATTAATTTATTTTTATGTACTGTTATAAGTTTTTTTCAGGTATTTTAAAAGGGAGGGATGTAACTTGAATGGAATAACTGTCAACCCCACCAGGGGAATAATTGGCAAATTTAAGATTTTGGTTACTTAATTAATTATAATTTTGTTTTCAGGTTAAAAAAGAAGATTGTAATTTACTGGGGGATAACTGTCCCAAATCCACAAGGAGGAGTTGGGGGAGGGTCTTGGGGGAACTTCATTGCTTCCAACGAGGTGGACGGGGAAGGAGGGTGGGTTACCAACATATTTACCATGTTATAAAAACCAAAAATATAACATTTTTTCTAACAAAAAATATTAAAACATTTAGTTATAAAACAAAAAATATAACATTGTTATAACCAAAAATATTAAAACTTTGTTATAAAAACCAAAAATTATTTTTCAGGTAAAAGAGATGTACTTACTGGAACTGTCCAACCACAAGGATAATTGCAAATAATATTTGTTACTATAATAATTTGTTTTCAGGTAAAAGAGATGTACTTACTGGAACTGTCCAACCACAAGGAGAGTAGGGAGGGTATTGGGAACTCCATTGCTTCCAACGAGAGCGGAGGTGGGTACAAAATATAACATGTTATAACAAAATATAACATTTTATAACAAAATATAACATGTTATAACAAAATATAACATGTTATAACAAAATATAACATGTTATAACAAAATATAACATGTTATAACAAAATATAACATGTTATAACAAAATATAACATGTTATAACAAAATATAACATGTTATAACAAAATATAACATGTTCTAACAAAATATAACATGTTATAACAAAATATAACATGTTATAACAAAATATAACGTGTTATAACATTATGTAACATGATACATTTAATGTATATAATACCATGTACATTTTGTGTACATTTTGTGTAAATTGTGTACATGATGTGCATTTTATGTACATTTAGTGTACATGGCGTACATTTAGTGTACACTATTTTACTTATATCTAACTGAAACGACTCCAAGCCAACTAATAATGTGTTATGTTAGATTGCCTAGTGTAGTGCTTAGTGTAGTGCCTAGTGTAGTGACTAGTGTAGTGCCTAGTGTAGTGCATAGTGTAGTGCCTAGTGTAGTGCCTAGTGTAGTGCCTAGTGTAGTGCCTAGTGTAGTGCCTAGTGTAGTGCATAGTGTAGTGCCTAGTGTAGTGCCTAGTGTAGTGCCTAGTGTAGTGCATAGTGTAGTGCCTAGTGTAGTGCCTAGTGTAGTGCCTAGTGTAGTGCCTAGTGTAGTGCCTAGTGTAGTGCCTAGTGTAGTGCATAGTGTAGTGCCTAGTGTAGTGCCTAGTGTAGTGCCTAGTGTAGTGCCTAGTGTAATGCCTAGTGTAGTGCCTAGTGTAGTGCTTAGTGTAATGCCTAGTGTAGTGCCAAGTGTAGTGCCTAGTGTAGTGCCTAGTGTAGTGCCTAGTGTAGTGCTTAGTGTAATGCCTAGTGTAGTGCCTAGTGTAGTGCCTAGTGTAGTGCCAAGTGTAGTGCCAAGTGTAGTGCCTAGTGTAGTGCCTAGACGTGTAGTGGAACTTATACCGCGACCGTTATTTTAAATGTCAAGTTTAAATGAGTATGTGGTTGCAACACGACGTGGTAATGAATATTGCCCGACAAGTAACCTTATAAGGAGGTGTATTGGCAAATGTTACGTATTGGAGCCTGGAGAAATACTTAGAAATTAGGGAGTTTTCCAGAAATTTCTCAATTTAGGCTACAAGTTGAATTTGGTGACGATCTTCCTTCCTTGGTATTATCAACGTGTATTATTTACTGAACTACCGATCTTCACCGAAGTTTCTGTGTGAAGAACATTTGCTGAAGTTGCGAGGGTTTAATTAATAAAAAAGGTGTATACATCTAAAGCCAATTACACTTAAAAACACATCAATAAAATGACGTATTTAATTACATTATTATAATTAATAATTATCTAATTATCTAATTATCTAATTATTTCAGGTGGTGATCACTGCAGCACGTCTGGAGAGAACACTCGCTGTCAAACTCCACAGTCACAAAGTTCTGGAAACTTCGATACTTTTAGCATACCTGAGTTAGTGTACATTTATATTATTTTATTTTATTCTTATACATTATATTATGTTTCGACTTTCGAGTCTGACATAATATTTCATTTAACATCGCAATACATGAATATAATCACATACAGTTACACCATATTTACATAATTATACACATTTTTTACATAGTTTTACTCAACCAAAAATTTGCACTCAACAGATCCCAAAACATCGTGAAATACCTGTATTTGTACTTTATCATACCTATTTTATTACCTTTATCTATTTTTAATACATATAAAGTTACACTTAAACACTACCTCTTATAATCTCCGTTCTTTGAAAAGTAATCTGTGTGATTAATAACTTAACATTCCTAACGAGCTAACGGCTAACTGTGACCTAACCTAACAGGCCGTCAGAACATGATGATTAATATTTAATAACACTTATATATGTGTATAAATCCACATATCCCTGCAATGGAATAATAACTTGAATTTTATTATGTATAGTGTATACATTACGCTAGATGCTCTAGAGTACAAGTTTGTATGTACCAAATTACTGTCATTGTCTGTGCTAAAAAGCACTAACCATGCATGTGTGCGTGGCTTGTACTAGATTAACAATGTTTAAGATATTTACTAGGTTTACGAGATTTAAGATATTTACTAGGTTTACGAGATTTACGAGATTCAAGGTTGTTAAATACGTCAAATTTTCGTGAAAGAATACGACGTATTCGGTTCTAATAAAGAATACGTCGTAATACGCCGGAATACGGTAATTTCTATGGATTGTTAAATACGTCCACGAATACGCCATAATACGCCGTAATACGCTGATTTGTCAAAATTAAACATTACAGCTGCGCGCCACCCTAATCATTGATCATACATTAAAGGAGTGCAGTTATACATGATAACTTAAATTTGTAATCAAATTTCATGGATAATCGTAACAGGCACGTAGACAGGGGGGGGCTAGGGGGGCGGCAGCCCCCCCGGAAAAATCGAACCCCAGAAAAAAGATAAGCCCCCTAGTCCCCATGGTCGCCTGGTAACTGGGCTGTGTTTATGACTGCAGTCAGTCAAAGATTTGAACTGTGGATTAGTAAATATCTGTCATAACATCCAAGCAAACATTCTAAGATTCTAGAAGACTTCTATAAATAGTCAATAGTGTCCCCTAGACCGTAGGAAATGTAAAAATCTTAAGACGATGAGGCCTGAGTAAGTCGTAAATTCTGTCTGGAGAATGCAGATTGCATTTGTGAAGTTACCAAATTTACGTGAGTACTTGATTCTTTTCAATCCCAGTTTATTGCGGTCCTACAAATTTCTTTAATGCCAAATGTCGTCTAAAACACCCTGTTTCGCAAAAATTTTCCGGGGGGCTGCACCCCTGGACCCCGCTGGGGGCTGCGCCCCCAGACCCCTGCCACAGCTTGCTCGCTTCGCAGCTGCATTGGACACGTCGGCTCGCTTCGCTCGCCGACAGCCCCCATCGAAGAAAAATTCTGGCTACGTCACTGAATCTTAATACGTCAATTTTCGAGGAGGAATACGTATTCGTATTCCAATACGTATTCCCTCCTAATACGTATTTAACAACCTTGACGAGATTTACAAGATTAACAAGATTTACAAGATTTACAAGATTAACAATTTGTATGAATGCAGTTGTTCACGTAGTCAGGCCATGTTAAATGGAGAGTATGTGCCATGTGGTAGGATTGAAGTAGGATTGTAGTAGGATTGTAGTAGGATTGATGAAGAGTCAATAATAACATATTATCAACAATTGAAAATTTAGTCTAAGTTAGTCTAAGAACGAGTAATTAATGACGATATAATCGGTATTAACCCGTATTTAAGGTATGTCGTTGCATTCCCCGCTTTCATAAACAGTTTCTGTACTGCAGAAATGTTCGACAATTCCTGGATTTTTAAAACCTTCATTATAGTTAAACTTACATCTGTAACAACGAATTCCGTTGTGAGTTGGTGTATATCATTAGCACTTGCTGGGGCCCGAGTTTAGTTAAAACTTTAAAACTCAATTTACCACAATATTTTAAGTAACCACCATACATTTTAAGCAGCTTTAATTATTGTGGTGCGTCACTGAATTACCAAGGATTTGGCATGTTGCTGCAATGGTATGTCACTGAATTACCAAGGATTTGGTATGTTACTGCAATGGTATGTCACTGAATTACCAAGGATTTGGTATGTTACTGCAATGGTATGTCACTGAATTACCAAGGATTTGGTATGTTACTGCAACGGTATGTCACTGAATTACCAAGGATTTTGCATGTTACTGCAACGGTATGTCACTGAATTACCAAGGATTTGGTATGTTACTGCAATGGTATGTCACTAAATTACCAAGGATTTGGTATGTTACTGCAATGGTATGTCACTGAATTACCAAAGATTTGGTATGTTACTGCAATGGTATGTCACTGAATTACCAAGGATTTGGTATGTTCTGCAATGGTATGTCACTGAATTACCAAGGATTTTGCATGTTACTGCAACGGTATGTCACTGAATTACCAAGGATTTGGTATGTTACTGCAATGGTATGTCACTGAATTACCAAGGATTTGGTATGTTCTGCAATGGTATGTCACTGAATTACCAAGGATTTGGTATGTTACTGCAACGGTATGTCACTGAATTACCAAGGATTTTGCATGTTACTGCAACGGTATGTCACTGAATTACCAAGGATTTGGTATGTTACTGCAATGGTATGTCACTGAATTACCAAGGATTTGGTATGTTACTGCAATGGTATGTCACTGAATTACCAAAGATTTGGTATGTTACTGCAATTGTATGTCACTGAATTACCAAGGATTTGGTATGTTACTTCAATGGTAATTGGTTAGTCACTGACTAACCAATTAGTTGATAGGTCGCAATTGGTACAACTTAACTAACAAATTCAACTAAAACGTTACTCGCCCTCAAGTAACTCCGCACTCTCTAACTCATTACAGCACTTTAAAAACACTCACCTGTAACAGACTGAATGACACGAGGAGAAATCTCATGGAATCCCCGACATGAAAGCCAGTACAAATTGTACTGTACAATCTCATACAATATAAAGTAAAGCGTGAGTATATATATTATACACACTTACCACCGCGCTATGTGCTAACTTTAGTGTAGTATGACGTGAAGTGTGTAATGCTGTAGTGTATTGCGAGGTTATACTGAGCTTAGTACGGAGAACAACATGGTATAGTGGTATAGTGGTATAGTGGTATAGTGGTATAGTAGTACAGTGTATAGTAGTACAGTGTATAGTAGTACAGTGTATTATAGTGTATAGTGGTACAGTGTATAGTGGTACAGTGTATAGTGGTACAGTGTATTATAGTGTATAGTGTATAGTGTATAGTGGTATAGTGTATAGTGGTATAGTAGTATAGTGGTACAGTGTATAGTGAAAATGAAATGAAATGAAATGAGGTATTTATATCCCGCTCATATGATTAACCAACAACACAAGGAAGGTGGTTAACCATGTCAGAGCGGCTGACTGTGAGTGATGTGAGCAAATGTGTAAAAATGAACAAGAGTATAACTCAATATAAGGCTAAGACAAAATTAAAATATCTTTTATTTTAAACCACACTAAACTAAAAAGAAGCAGAGACCATACAATACATGTAGGTATAATAAATAGTGGTATAGTAGTATAGTGGTATAGTAGTATAGTGGTTGTATAGTGGTATAAGTGGTATAGTGGTTGTATAGTGGTATAGTAGTATATACTACTATACCACATAATGTTTAATATGTAGTATATATACCAATACCAGTACACAGTACACCTGTGTTATTGTGGTATATAATACTATACAGTATGCATTATGCACAATACCTGTATATGTATGTGTTTATGTTAGGTATTATAGTGCTAACTGCAACATGTACAATTAAGATCTTCATACCACATAATATTACTGTTCCTGTATTGAGCAATGTTACCCTCCTTCACATGATGATAATAACTTCCAAGTCATTTATTTTTTGCCCTTTGTTGGATCTTTCTTGCCTCATGGTCGAGAAAAGACTTCCATATTTCAGAAAGATCCACTCCTGAATTTGTAGCTAAACTTATTCCCCTGAAAATGTCAAACAATAGTCGTGAAACTGATAGTTTTGTAATCAATTTAAAACTTTCAAATTGTTACACAAAGTACAGTGAAACAACCTCTATTATACCGGGCTTCTCGAGGGAAACGGTATAAAAACATATGGAGAAGTTCACATGATCCCAATCCCCAGCATTTGTAGCCTCTCAAATAACCTATCAAATCAAAACTTTAGACAATTACTTTTATTGAGTTATAGTGGCGATCTGCCTGTTTTCAGTGAGGCAGCCGTCACTCTACAGTCTACACCATTAACTGTCTCCAATATACAAACATACATTTTATGATATATTAGTTGATAACGATCAATGGAATTAGTGGTTTATATTTGTCACACATCCGTATAAATTATAAAATATAAATCCATGGTAACTAATGGACATGGTTATGATATACAGTATACACTATACAATATACACTGCTCAGTGCAATGTACACTTAACATTCATTTGCACTGGATGTTAATTGCGACAACTTTTTCAATATTTTCAATTATTATGTGGTATAATTATCTGATATAATATACAGTATATAATTAGAAAATGTAATAACCCAAAATACATTATCAGCTGTATCGTATTTTTAACAGAATTCGTTAATCCGCTCGAATTAATTCGTGATCACATTAGCAATTCCTTCTATATTCAATTACAACGATCCGATATCTGACTTATATGTGGCAAATCCGAATTCAATCTGACTGCAATTTGGCAAAAATTAGCAATTGAGTGCTGAAATCATTAAGTGTAAAATTCTCAGTTCCGAGTAATAAAGAGGATCAGATTTCACTGTTATCGTTGAATTCTGACGACACATAAGGAGGTTTCTAATGTCACCTTATTTTTCAGGTTAGACGCGTACGCAACGGAACACCAAGTAATCGTGAGTATATTGTTTATCTGATAAGAGGAGCTACATTTCTGCTATTTTCTGACAAATGTGCTTAGTAAGACCATTTTTGAAATTCTGAATTATTTAACTTAAGTTTCATTTTTGGGCCAAGAAGTATCTCTGAATACCATCAGAAACCACCTTTTGAAACCTCTTAAAGTGCCACAATTTGTCATAAATGTGTCAAAACTCAAAAGTTAAGCAATTTTGTCATAAAACGGCAGATTTCTACCTATAGGGCGAGGGAACTCAGGGAATGTGAAATATTCTTTACTTAGTACTATGTCTAACGGTTCATAGATTTTACAACTGTTAAACATAGGTCACACAGGTAGGACGTAGGTATATTCCTCCGTAAACGGTCAACACCCGAATTAACTTTAATTCTACGTTAACATTTTTCTTCGCCTTCACCGGTCCAGTATCTCTACTATAATTCAGAGAATTATTTCTGCTGTCTGTACGACCGCCCACGTGCAAATTAGATGAAAAACAGGAATTTAGGTAACAACCAAAAGGTTCCATAGCAACGGTGTTTTAATGCACACATGCACGTGCAAACTGCAAAGATTGTTTTAACGTCATTTTGATCGGTTTTGTGGTAATTACGTTGTGTTTAAAGTGTTTTAAATTTAAATCGGCTGTATCTTCGGTTGGGATGGATATTTTTTGATGCGATTAAAACTTTCTTTCGAAGAATACTACTAGCTTCGTCCCTGTTACCACGGGCTTTCTAGTATGGTATAATACCTAGCAATGGATTATCCCACCAGGACATAATCCCACCAGGACATAATCCCACAAGGACATAATCCCACCAGGACATAATTCCACCAGGACATAATCCCACCAAGACATAATCCCACCAGGACATAATTCCACCAGGACATAATTCCACCAGGACATAATCCCACCATGACACAATCCCACCAGGACATAATCCAACCAGGATATAATCCAACCAGGACACAATCCCACCAGGACATAATCCCACCAGGACATAATCCCACCAGGACACATTTCCACCAGGACATAATCCCACCAGGACATAATTCCACCAGGACATAATTCCACCAGGACATAATTCCACCAGGACATAATTCCACCAGGACATAATTTTACCAGGACATAATCCCACCAGGACATAATCCCACCAGGACATAATCCCACCAGGACATAATTCCACCAGGACATAATTCCACCAGGACATAATCCCACCAGGACATAATCCCACCAGGACATAATCCCACCAGGACATAATCCCACCAGGACATAATCCCACCAGGACATAATCCCACCAGGGCATAATCCCACCAGGACATAATCCCACCAGGAGATAATCCAACCAGGATATAATCCAACCAGGACATAATCCCACCAGGATATAATCCCACCAGGACATAATCCCACCAGGACATAATCCCACCAGGACATATTCCCACCAGGACATAATCCCACCAGGACATAATCCCACCAGGACATAATCCCACCAGGACATAATCCCACCAGGACATAATCCCACCAGGACATAATCTCACCAGGACATAATCCCACCAGGACATAATCCCACCAGGACATAATCCCACCAGGACATAATTCCACCAGGACATAATTCCACCAGGACATAATTCCACCAGGACATAATCCCACCAGGACATAATCCCACCATGACATAATTCCACCAGGGAATAATCCCACCATGACATAATCCCACCAGGACATAATCCCACCATGACATAATTTCACCAGGACATAATCCCACCAGGACATAATCGAATCCCACCAGGACATAATCCCACCAGGACATAATCCCACCAGGACATAATCCCACCAGGACATAATCCCACCAGGTCTAGGTCATAATCCCACCAGGACATAATCCCACCAGGACATAATCCCACCAGGACATAATCCCACCAGATCATAATCCCACCAGGACATAATCCCACCAGGACATAATCCCACCAGGACATAATCCCACCAGGACATAATTCCACCAGGACATAATTCCACCATGACATAATCCCACCAGGACATAATTCCACCAGGATATAATCCCACAAGTACATAATCCCACCAGGACATAATCCCACCAGGACATAATCCCACCAGGACATAATCCCACCAGGACGTATTGTTTCTCTATTGGTCGTGTCCGGGTAGTTGATCCAGCCCTGGATATCATCTTCAATTGAACTTCAAGACTAAAGCTTCTGTTATGTTTCATTTGATGATAAATAGCAATGACTCCATTGTATACCCTTGTCGGTTAATGCTGCGACAACTTCGACTAGTAATGAAATCTATGCCCCTGTCTGTATTATATAATCTGTCTTAGGTGTCGTATTACTTCAAAAGACCTGATGACGAAATATTTATGTACCACCTTATCAAATTACACCGTGTTCAAGGATCTTTCTAGAAAATCATGGAAAAAATAAAATGTTGCGGTTGTGCCTACTACTTTTTAACTTCCTTCATGGCCGATTAATTTTCTGATATATTGAGGTTGCGGTTATAACTGTTACTCCATGGTCGGGTAAAGCTGGTATGTTATAGGGCTTGTCGATTGTTCTACTTAGTACTTACATTAGATGAATTTAAACGGTACTCTCTGTTCCAATGCACGCTCCTGCGTCCTTTAAAACACGCGGCGCTGAAACTTTGATGCGTCACAGGATTTTCGTGTCATCAATTATAGAGCGCGCATATCGTGCCGCGCACTACACGACTACTGGATTATTTTGTCTCTAAGACCCTAAACTACTAGCTAGAGTGACCTAGACGGCACGTAATCGATTTAACGAGATGTCGTCTAGCCAGCACCCTAGACCGCGACACGAGATGCAGTCTTTGGAGAACAACACACAAGAAGAGTAACTTCTTATTTTAACTATTACTTTAAAGTTAGCATATAGAAATCCCTGGTTTGACTCAGAGGCCCATGAGGCATACTTGAAGAAAAAAAGAGCTCATGAAAAGTGGAAACTAACCGGCCAACAAAAGGATTATTTTAAGTTTTGCTCACTAAGAACACAGTTCAAAAATCTATCTGATCAGAAGATGAACGATAATCTATATAACGATGATGACCCTGCATTGATCTCAAAGAAATTCTGGTCGCATGTAAAATCCTCTTCAAAGAATTCAAGAATACCGGATAGGATGTACCTTAGAGAAACATACAGAGAATCTCCATTAGACAAAGCAAATATGTTCAATCAGTATTTCTCAGAACAATTTTCTGACGAATCTAAGTATGATATTGATATTGATTGGAGAAGTGATACTGAATTCGACTTAACTTTCTGTGCAGAGAATATAAAACATCTCTTAAGGAACATTAATTCTAACAAAGCTTGCGGCCCTGACGGTATCCATGGTAAGATACTGAAGAACTGTGCTGGTAGTCTCGCTTGCCCACTTTCAATTTTATTTGAGATATCATATAACTCCGGTATTATTCCAACTGAATGGAAGCTGGCTCACGTAGTTCCGGTTCACAAGAAGGGTAGTAAGGAGGACATTGAGAATTATCGGCCGATTTCCCTAACTAGTCTTATAATGAAAACATTTGAACGCCTTATTAAACAGGAACTCTTGAATAAAACAATGCATCTTCTTGATGATAGACAGCATGGATTTCTTGGAGACAGATCTTGTACCACAAATATGATTAACTTTATTGACAGTGTCACGCTATCCCTCAATGACTGTTCGACTATAAGTGTAGACATCATTTACTTTGATTTTGCTAAAGCCTTTGATTCTGTAAATCATGATCTTATTCTTAAGAAACTTAAACTCGTCTTTAATATTGAAGGAAGGCTACTCAAATTCCTAACCAACTATCTTAGTGAACGGGAACAATGTGTGTTAGTTGATGGTAGACATTCAGAGATCAAACCTGTTTTGTCTGGAGTTCCTCAAGGCTCCGTCCTAGGTCCCATTCTATTTGTCTTATTCATAAACGATCTTCCCATGAGATTAAGTTCAGGCACAAATTTGGTACTTTATGCTGATGACACGAAAATATGGAGTCCTATTAAATCATACAACGATTATTGCACACTTCAGAATAACATAAATGAACTTAATTCTTGGAGCATAGAAAATAAGATGCGATTCCATCCATCAAAGTGTAAAGTCCTCTCTATTCCTGGAAAGAAATTCAGCAGTAGGATATTACCTATTCCATTTATCAGATTTCAATATTTGCTCGGTAATACTCCCTTAGATTACACCAGTACGGAAACAGATCTTGGAGTCGTTATAAATCAGGGCTTTCGTTTTGAAGAACACATAACTAAAATATTGTCCAAAGCTAACCAAAAATTTGGACTGCTGAAACGCACTTGCTCATTTGTCCAAGATGAGAGACGAAGAAGAAATTTATACCTTGCACTTGTTAGAAGTCAATTTGAACACTGTTCCCAAATCTGGCGTCCATTTAATAAAACACAACTAGATAAGATGGATGCTTTTCAAAAAAGGTGTATTAAGTGGATTTTTGATGAGGAATTCACAAGCTATCAGTCCTTTGAAAACTATACTTACAAATGTCATCAATTGAAAATCCTTCCTCTCAGCAAGAGGTTTGAATTGAATGACCTGACCTTGTTTCACAAAATAGTCAATGGTGTATGCACACAAGAGCTTCCTAATTACTTACAACTATACAAAGGAAGCACACGCTTAAGATCATGTCACCATGACAGCCTAAGTTATGTAACGACTCTTGTTCAAACACAGTGTAATAGCAGTCTCCTTAAGAAATCATTCTTTTATCGGACACATCTGCTCTGGAATAAACTTCCTCTCGAAATAAGAGACCATAGCTGTCCTGATATCTTCAAGGCCAAACTTAAGGATCACCTATGGTCGGAAATGCTACCCACAGATCCAAACGATAGTCACGCTGAATTCTACCTGTCTGATAATGATTAGATGCATCTCATTTCTCCCAATGCCAATTCTCTAATCTAAAATAACCGATCCAAACTATTTAAGGGGTTAGGGGTGGGTTGGGTTGTGGGTTGGGTTTTTAAAAGTATTGTATGATATAATCTATTTCATTAAAAAGTTAACAAATTATTAACATTATGATATTTTATGCACGCTGTATTTTATTATTGCACAATCATCTCTATTACTATATATCTTACATTTATATGTGTTGATTGTATGAAATGTTTTGTCAGGGACCATATTTTGTAGGTGTAATTTTTGCACGAACTACGTTCTGGTTTCCCGTCATTATAGTACATAGAAATCACTTTTTTACCGTGTTATTTTCATGCAATTACATTGATGTATGTACTATTTTGAAAAGATTTTCAATAAAAAAAGAGGAATTCTTTATAATTTACTCCCGTACCTTTTCATACAAATATACAAATTGCATCGTCATGAGAAGGTTTTCGCTTTGGCAATGGAGTTGATTCAATGTGCCATGATTACTTATCAAGTGTTAAAACGATCAATCAAATTCATTTATTTCAAATTTATTACTTCGCTTTGTGGCTATACAATTTGAATTAAGCCCGGAAATGGTAGTTCAGTGAGCAAAGAATGAGGAGGTGTGGTAGGCCCTTGCAAACATTCAACTAAGATATATTCTTATGTCCATGATTTAATAAGATGGGCTCACGACTTTCCACTAACACAACTGCAGTTGTATAATTAATTACTGAAATTCTACATAACACAATTCGGTTCTCTTAGAATACCCAATAATATGCTGACCTATGTCCTATCTGATCTGATCGATGTCCGTATCCTCAGGAATTAAAAATAACTAGCTGTCTGAGGCAATCTAAGGAGAAATACGAAGCATTACACGCCGTGACGACCACATTGTATCAGAAATACGAGAAGCTGAAACTGGAACGTGACAAATTTCGTGACGAGAACACTAGTTTAAAAGAAGAAATAAGACGGTTGAAAACGAGATGAAATGATGCACAAATTTTGTATTAGATCGTGTTTTTACTTTATAATACGGTTCTGATGAATCTCAATCCTATAGGAGCCATTGTTCGTCGTAGGCATTAACGAAAACCTCTTGATTTCTGATATATTCTGTATTCAACTCAAAAACATACCAAATTTTAGACTGATAGCTTCAAATATTATGCTACATTTAATGTGTACAAAATATCTCAAAATTTTTCAAGAAGTTCTCGTTGATTGTGTCGTAGTTTTCTATTTTTATACCTCGTTTAATGTGTCTGTTAAGTTAGAAGAGTGTTGCTCTGTCTAGCTACTGCTTATTCTTGTGGTTTTTTCCAAAGAAATTTGTTTCTAAAGATATTCGGATTTGTGGATACAATGTCAACCTGCTCTCCTTTTTCAAATTTACTTGTAACTTAGTGGTCAATTAGAGAAAAATGGGGTTGTGTTATTGACAAAATGTAAGGGAGAATCAAGTTGGCAGTGTACCACAGGGGTAGTTTATAATTGCGGTAATACTACCTATTGTATAACGCTTCCTCGTTTGGAATGCTTTCTTATACTGCGTATTTTCCATATGTAATCTAGTTTTTATTGTCTGTGAAGCTTTTTTTATAAATATATTCCGGTTAAGCTTGGTGCCACTCGATGTCGAGATTAAACATGTTTCACTGGTCCCACCAGTCCAACTTTAGATAAATTGTCAGGGTCACGCTGCTGAATAATGTATTTTTAATACAGTCTCTCCGAAAGCTTTGGGACGTCCATAATGCTTCTTAAAACGAAAATAATTTGTTTGATCGTCTATCATTCTTATTACGTATGATCAGGATGTCGCACTTTGGTCTATTAGTAGGAAGATTTATTGCAATGATCTCTTGATTTTAACAGTTCGGAAATATTTTCTTTGTAGTCGAGCATGTCACATAGTTAATAGTGTGGATTGAATCAGATTTCACGATTTAGGATTGATGTTAACTGGATATGATGGTTGTGGTAGGCTAGCCATGACTAAATATGAGATATGATATCTGCATTTGCTTAAAGAAGGGTGGCTACTATAGTAGCCTAATATGCTAACAGAGTTGCCGTGGGTAATTCACATAAAAATTAGCGCGGCCCTGAATTAACACCAATGTCGTTCAGAGCCGTGTTAATAAAGAGCCGCGCTAATTTCGATGTACATACAGGACCCACGGATGAAGATTTTAGACATGATGTCATGTTAGGAAATAATGTGGCTTATCTTTTGTTACCTTGGTAACCCAGTTTTGTCATTGTTATGGGGTCGTTTACATGTTACTCAAATGCAAATGGTTGGAGAAAATCACCGAAATATTTAAAAGCTGATCAATATCGTGTGATTGATTGACAGGAATGAAAAGTATGCAAAAGTATCACGTGATATGTGAAGGACCCAAGTTTGAACCCAGATTGTGGTTGTTAAGGGCAAGATTAGGATTGATTATATATTCTTTTGATTAGTGATACAACTTTTTCTATAGAATTCTGCGATTGTAGTTGCTCGATATGAACAGTTTAGATATCTACGGGGCACTTCGTTCAACGGGGCCAGGATTGATATTCGCATAAGTTCGATCTACGCTCGTAAAATTATTCTGTTAACAGAAAATTGATTGTCACCAACATTGACCAGTGTAAAACTGTTCCAATCTCGGTGACCCACATTTACGAAGGGAGGCCGGAGAGTACATAAAATTGCAAAAATGTAAACCAACTTTATACTACCATTGGTCCGATCATGGCTGCAAGTTTGTACCAGTTAACAAATTATGTGAGATGAAAATCTGGTTCATGGCCTAATTTTTGCATAAATCTTGTCAATAATAAATTCTACTCGAAGCAACGCAGTGCTTCCGACGATATGAAATCTGATTTTGGGATAGAAAACTTTTTTATCGACTTGTTAAGTGAGTAAAACTGTAGCCTTAGTGATAAATTGTTTCGTAATGAGAAGCGGAATATTTGAGATACGATCATCAATCTGAGACTGCGTAAAAAACTTATCTTGTCTGGCAAAAAGATTATTTAGAAAATATTTAATTTGCGATTTTTGCAATTATCCTAAATAAATATGAAATATGATAGATATGAACAAAAAGTGATTAGATAAATAGTGGTTAGACCATTTATTATATCTGAGATATACACTATAATAGTTTCGTTGTGGTTATAAAACCAGTACAAAATGACTGGCGGAAAATAGTGGACTCTTTCATGATTTTAATGAACCACTGCTTGGACGTGGGAGTTAGGATGAGGTGATCAACCCAGTTCATTCATCTTAATATAACTACTATATAATATAATAACTATATAATATAATAACTATACCGGTTAAAGCAGAAACATTAGTTGTACAGTAAAACCCCTATTTAACGTACCCGGCCCCGATTAATAGCGTAGCTAGACCCCGACTAACCGTGATCCCAATTTACAGTACCTCTCCCCTTTTTAAAATGTTTTAAAGATGACTAAATTTTAGTCGATATCACATGATCTTTTATAAATACGGCTTATAAATGAGACCATGAGTCGAGCATCCCAATCTTGTAACTACCCCTTCGGTGCTTGCCAACCCTTACACTTGATTGGAAACCAGTATTGTGCGGTGAAAACCATACGATACGACTGGGATTCAAAAATAATTCTATTTCCTTTCCCCAAACTGTACAATAAATCGGGGTTTTACTGTATATAGTTGTTGTAGTAGGCTGTTCTGTGTTTTATGATATTGTTCCGTCTTAACTACATCCGCAGTTAAGTCAGAACAGGTACTACTCAGTTTTGTGGGCAACATTATTTGAAATGTCTTCCACCAGCCATTTTGTACTGATAATATAATCCGGTAAATAAACTGATGATTTGTAAAAATATTCGTTGTTGAAGTTTCAAAAACCTACATTTTGTCGTTACTTCTATTCCTCCTTACCGAGCTTGCTAGTCAGAGCCTATTGCTCGATCCTCTCACGGAGAGAATGTGCAAGAACAAAGAACGGATGATGATTAATTGCTACAACGTGTAGCAAGGCGAAGTATATACAATAATCAATATTAAATAAAGCGCGCGCCGGTTTGCAGTCCATTAACATGAGGCATCAATAAATCTAACGGGTCGATCGTCTGTAAGTACAAGTTATATGATATGTTATTTGTTATTAAATTTTTGAGTGCGCGTGATCAGGCTTTAGTTTTACTTTACTGGGCAGCGCTTTAATTGACGATGTCAATTCATGGCAGCTCGGCGCGGCACAGTAGCGCATCCCGCCGATCTGTCGCTGTGAGAAGCCTCATTGAGTGCGCGGCGCGGCACAGTAACGCATCGCGCTACAAGGCAGCGCTCAGCCTGTCATTCCGCGCCGCCTAATTTCTGTTTATGAACATGATAGCCTGAGGTCCCCAGGTAAGGTAAGCTTTACTATGCGCAGCCCGCGCGTTTTTGGTTTAGAAAAGCTTGGAGGACTTCAACGCGTTAACGGGTGATATAGATATTCGTAAAATATTGGATGATGATTAATCACTCTACACTCGACTGTCACGTGACTTTTTCAACCCGTTCTCTAGCTGGTTCTGAACGACTTTTCGAAACCCTAACCCTCTAATCTGATCCCAACCCTAACCCTAACCCTATCCTTAACAAAAACATATGCTGAAACCCTAACCCTAACGAGAAATTAGACTAACTTCCTTATACGGTCATATCACGTGATCTAGACAGTTTTTCGCCAATATCTCGTCAGGGGAGCATTTTAACCCTATGTCATGGGGGGTGATTCGGAATCAGCGTCCGAAAATACATCGATTGAAGTTGGTTACAACCGTCGGGGGCCCTTTTAGAACAATCTCGAAGATCGACTGTAGAGTGATTTAGCACGCTCGTAATATATTTGTTTTGGACCGTCGACGAGTCTTGTCATACGTTGTATAACCCGCCGCGCACGAGTGCAAACTTTACAGTAGTTACAGGGGTGAAACGACCGTGGGGGATCACGATGTGATACAAGACGAGTCCAACTCGGCGCGCGTCCTGGTAGGTTGTAAACCTACAATCGACGCGCCGCGCAAACTATTATTCTTACTTGCATCATTGATATGACTATATCGTTGCTCATGCTTTATTAATTTGCAGAGCAACGATCTGGAACGATTGACATTGCGTCTAACGTCTTACTGGGCCGAGCTCAGCCTGTCATTCCGCCTAATCTCTATTATGTTTATGAACATGATAGCTTGAGGTCCCCAGTGCAGGTTGTAGCGCGATGCACTACTGGGTCGCGCGCGCATCAAATAATGCTTCTCGCAACCACCTTCGGTAGATCGGCGAGATGCACCACTGTGCCTCACCGAGCTGCGAAGGATTGACATCGTGAATCAAGTCCCCAGGTAACATCGCGTCATGTCAATCAAAGAAAAGCATGATAAAAGTAATTTTTGGTTTAAATTTTATTTTCAATTTTGGGCCGAAAATGGCCATTTTTGAACGTTTTTATGTTTTACAATATTCTAATTTTGTATTTTGATTCAATTAAAATTAAATGATATCAATGCTTCAAATATTTTGGTTTTTAGCATTTTTCAATTAATACCGCATTTAATAATAGTAACAAGTAAAGTCAAGTAAAATATTTTACTAGTATCACATTCACATAACCACTTAACGGGTGATACTCGTAAAATATCTGTTCCATATATAATTGGACCATGTCGCCGAGTCCAACTTGGCGCGCGTCCTGGTAGGTTGTAAACCTACAATCAATATATGGAACAGATATTTTACGAGTATCACCCGTTAACAAATAACCACGAGTCTTCGTGCCCAGGAAAACCTACCGGCTGGGGTATATCTCCAAAAGTAAAATAGATAGAACCTTCCGGTTTTCAACAAAATGTCCGTCTCGTAAATTTAAAGGAGGCTCCCCAGGAGCACAATTTGGGACAACTTAGATTTTGAATTAAACTGAAAAGTTTGATTTTTGGCTAAATAAAAGATCGCAGCTTTTAAACTTTGCAAAGTCATGTCGTTGTCATAACTACTAAACTAAATGCAGCGTGCGAAAGGTAAACTCGATGTGACGCGCGACGCCAAACGTGCTGTTGAAAATCTATCACCTCTAGCAAGCCCAGCAGGCGGTAAGGTTTTCTGGGTGTACTACGTGACTCGCTACTGCAAGCACGAGGGCTTTAGTAAGAGCATTTATTTGACATGACAGTTCAGTATTTAATCATCGAAACAAGTTTATAGATCGATTACATTTTTTCGGGTGCTGCGCGCATTATGAAAATCCGTGAAAACAATCGAGCGCTACGATAAAATCTTTCCTAGCAGTACATTGACAGACTCGTTATATTATGCTTATTGAACTGTATATGTGAAGTGTCTGTATCTGTTTGAGTTATGTCAAGGACGTTCTTTTATCTTTAATGTGGCTCTTTTTGAATAGTTTTAACAATTTCACAATACTATAGTATGCTGATATAGTTTTTAGGTTTACAATGCAGTACGTCTGTACTGAAGGGTACCCCTATAATAACTTAAATGTTAGATGTTTGGCAGGGTCAGGTTCCGCCTCATTTGAAATAAATTAATCCTTCGATCTTGCAATTATCGATCAATGAGGAGAAACTCTGCCAATTAATCTGGAATCTAATAAGGGTACCCTTCACCCGAAACAGCGTTACAGTGGAGTTCCTACCTACGAGTGAAGCTAATGTCAGCCGCGCCGCAAGGCTGACATTTGACATTATCATACTCTGCATACACCGCGCCACCTTTCAGGCGCCTTTTCCCACCTACGAGTGAAGCTAATGTCAGCCGCGCCGCAAGGCTGACATTATCATACTCTGGATACACCGCGCCACCTTTCAGGCGCGCCACCTCTCAGTTTTCACTCGTAGGTGGGAACTCCACTGTTAACCTATTCAATGAAACAAGAAATTTTTTTAATGAAACCAGAAATTTAATTTTAGCACATTTTACAGAATAAAAAGATGTAAAACAATCCATAAAATATAATGCCCAATTGGTGTATGTCTTTTTGTCCTTGACTGCTAGTTTGGTTTTGGTTAACGGGTGATACTCGTAAAATATCTGTTCCATATATTGGACCGTCGACGAGTCCAACTCCGCGTGCGTCCTGGTAGGTTGTAAACCTACAAGGTTTTGGAAGGACAGGTAACTAACGGGGCAAGGAATGCGTGTGCCTCAAAGCTTTTGCACACACCGAAACACTAGTTCAGTTAAGTTATTATTGTCGCTTTTTACAGTACATGATTGAGTGACCATCCGGATTCTGTTTGTGCTACTTTTGATCTAACTATTATCGATGCCAAGCGACTAGTCTTGTACATTAATCATTTTGTTAGCTCCCTCATTTCTATTTTTAGAAGTTCATTATCCCAAGTATCATAGAGGAGCTAAACTAATTATTAGTAGATGAAAGTAACCAATCACAATTTTTCTTGTACATGAGCTATTGAATCTCTAGCAAGGCATTTGTTAATACCTGTGTGTCAATTAAACAAATAATCAATTAAACAAATAATCAAAGTTTTAGCACATTTTACAGCATAAGATTTAAACAAATGAAAACATATAATGCTCTTAGTGGTAAATGGCCGTTTGTTCTGAGCTGTATGATTTTTTGATAATCAACTAGCGGGGCAAGGAATGTACTGGCTGGTAGCTTTTGTACACACCAGAACGCTAGTCTGGTTGATTAGTGACCAAATTAGAGGCGTTGATAGGAAGGCATTATAATTTGTGGGTGTAAGAGGGAATATTTGGCATGCATTATTCTAGCAGCTATTTTGTAACAAATGGTCTTTACGATTATTAAGGACAGTAAGTATTTTGGGTGTTCAATACTAAATCATGGCTAAATGTCTAAGTGGGGGCCGGGGGTTTAAATTTAAGGGAGAAAAAGAAATGAATATTGGGTTATAATGTTAATCATAGATGTCAACCCTGATATAACTATTGTACTAAAAATTCGATCATAATGCTTAGGGTCTTTATTAGGATTCAAATTGGATACAAAAATAGGATCTCTTTACACTACACTTACTCACTCACACATCACATTTAACTTGACAGAGGAATACGCTGGCAGAGTAAGTCTATTTGGTCATGAAATTTTGGAGGTCAGGTGGAATCCCTGCAGGAGCCTACGAAAATTTAAGGTTACAAATATCAAAGTCTTTATTTGTCCAGTCATAGTAGTAGTGTAGTTGACAAATACTAAAATGAATTGGCATGTACACACACAACACCCAAGTTCTGGAAGACTGCACACGATTGGTCATATCAAAATTATATCAAAAGTTCATGTGTTGATTTAATGTTGTTGATTTAACCGACTCACTCAGAAGTTTGATCGAATTTTCTAGTTTGAATATGTCTCCACTTCTCAAGTTAAAAATAATCTTTTACAGCTGAGCATAAGGGTTCAATGTGTATTCTGATTTTTCCACTGATCTTAGATATGCTTTTCAATTTTTAAAATAATATTGTATTATATTTCTGATTCATTGATAAAACTTCTTAACTTCGCTGGAGGCTGTGAAAAGTGATATTTTCCTTCTATCAATTGAATATTAAGTCCGATCTTGGACTCTCTTGGTGCTTGGATTGACGATCAATCTATTTGTTGGTCTTGATGAATTGAGATCAGAACCAATTTGAATGATTTTATAGGTTCCTGCATTAACACAATCGTAATCTCAGACTAGCTTAGCTATGGGCTGGTGTCGAATATTGACTGGTCTACTACTTATCCTACAAATAGCTTTGAATTATGGTTAGTGTAAATCTTGACTTTTTCATTTTTCTGGCTGTTAAGTAATAACTTAACTTAAAACGAATATCGTGTTTGTAATTAACTTCAATTTCCAATAACTAATCTATTTTTCTCAGGAGCATCCACTGGTCAGTGCTCCGGTGCCAAAACATGTTCCGAGTGTATCAAAACGCACTTCACCTGCAAATGGTGCCGGGACGAAATCTATGACGCCTCCAGATGTCAGTCAGATTTAAACCAAGAGCTGGGATCCTCTGAGTGTGAGAATTGGACCTTCCCTAAGTCTGTCATTGAGCCTGATGAGACGGAGTTTGGGCCCATTATTCAAGTCAAGCCCAGTGCCATCAAGATCACTAACCTCAGGCCAGGTAAGATAACGTTCTAACTAGACTTTAACCTTAAATGCTTGTTTACACATTGTATATCAGATGATGAGAGGGGTTGGGTAACAAATTATAGAAATAGATCTTTGCCTCCAACCAAAGCTCATCTCAGTGTGGTAAAATAGGAATATCTCACTTGAAAGATAACTTGTGTGGATGCAAAGTATTCTGTATTACTATTTCCATGGTATCATGTAGTTACATGATATAGCGGCTGTACCTTTAAATTTTCGTCAGAAATGAACCAGCGACCACCCTTTTCTCTATTAAATTCAGGAAACTCTAGTTCAAAACTGAACATTGAGTATCAAGTATGGAGCCTGACAAAACATTTAAATAATCTCTGACGACATGTAATGTGTACCGTGGTAACGGAACAGGTGCGGCTACCGGGCAACATCCGGTAATATGTCTGCTACTCATCTGAAATATCTGGTCAACTCACCACAATTACAACTCATAACTCATCTTGTTCAATCATCTTGTTTTAGCTGATTAGCCTATACTAGTTTTTACTAAATACTGCTCCCAATCATTTGAGATCTGCGTGCAAATAATACTGACATAACCAATAACCATTAACCAGCCTCTAGGGGAAATCTAAGAATATTCTTTGGACTTAATTAATAATCTGATAGTTGATTTAGTAAGTGCAATAGAACTTAATTAAAAATTTAATGTTTCTGACATTTGCTTCCTTAATGGAATGTAAGCTCCGCTTACTTCCCCTTTGCGTTATTACACAAGACAATACCCAATAATTATGGGTATTGTGTAGTATTTAGTACTCAACTATAGCATTGGGTTGATTGCAGGTCACTGCCTGTGTGTGACCTGCTGTGTGTAAAGGAACCCTAACTATTGGCTATAAAGTGCAGGTGTGAGGCTGTGATGGTGTCAATACACATTACTCTGTTTAATGGTATTGGTCTAGTGGAGACTAGACTTGCTTGTCACGTGAGGACGTGACCTATTCTGAGGAATTATTCTGAGGAATTATAGAGTTTGATGTTTTCATCCATCGGCTCAGCTCCATGGTAAACTAGGAATTTCTCACTTGAACGATAGCTTGTAAAGATGTGAAGTATTCCCCATAACGTTTTTTGCTCCTTGATTTTAATTATCACATTAACGACTGTTAAGTGTTAATGTGACCTGTGATATTACGCTTTTATTCGGACGAAATTTTTCACAGTTTTTTAGACATGTTTAACGGAGCTAATCTCTGTTGAGATGTTAATCTGAACCCATAAATCAAGACAAAGCTACTTGTCTATGTTACTGAAGGAAGTTGGGACAAACTCTAAAGAGGAACTGCGAACCCTGAGGAGGGACAGGGATATATGGAGGGGGTTATCTGGCGTAGATCGGACTTAGTTCCGACATAGTAGTAGTATTAGTATAAATCTAGCTTTGTTATCTTGTGGCACTCCGCAACAATTGATTATGATTATAAACATGAAACATCGATTTAGCTTTAAAAATTTGAACACTTAAATTTACTCGCATAACTTTAAGATAATATCCCAAGTAAAAGCTACAAACCTCATACGATTGTTCATTTGCAGTTTGCAAATAAAAATTGCAGACTTCACTACAGATTTAGCTTAAATTTATCTGTATAACTTTCAAATAACATCTAAAAAGTAAAAGCTACGCACCTCATAAGATTGAACGATTAGCGGACAATTTGCAGACTTAGCTGCAGAATGTGAGTGTATCGTGTTACACACTACACGTCACTCATTATAGTTCCGCCTTCTCTCACAACTATTTTTACACAAGCAAAGTTGTGTTCTGTGTTCTGTGTGAAACTATTAACTATGTGAGTGCATTGTGTGTTTTCCGTGTTTTGTGATATTTCAAACTATCAAATTAAAGAAATTTGATACCATCTTGGTATGAAACATTAACCTGAAGTGTGGACAATCAGTGGTAAATAGCCAACTACAAAGTGGCAAATAACCAACTACAAAGTGGTAAATAACCAACTACAAAGTGGTAAATAGCTAACTACAAAGTGGTAAATAACCAACTACAAAGTGGTAAATAACCAACTACAAAGTGGTAAATAACCAACTACAAAGTGGTAAATAACCAACTACAAAGTGGTAAATAACCAACTACAAAGTGGTAAATAACCAACTACAAAGTGGTAAATAGCTAACTACAAAGTGGTAAATAACCAACTACAAAGTGGTAAATAACCAACTACAAAGTGGTAAATAACCAGCTGCGAATCAATAAATATTGAATCATCATCCAACATGGCCCAGTGGGTAACATGATGTCATGTTTGAATGTTAAAATTACACACATTCCTAACTATCATCTAATTAGACCCAACACCGCACAGTACACAAACATGTAGAGAGAGTGAATAATGTACACACTTTTCACATCTCCGGCTGTTCCAACCTGTACACAATGTCTGTACATTCCCACCTAATGTCTGTACATTCCCACCTAATTATACTGAATAGAAGTCATTAGAGGTGATTAAAGAAATGAGACCTGAATTGTGAATACAAAAACAACTGCTCTGAACGTTTACGTGATACACTAATAATATAGTGCTGTAATAACTAGAGATTGTAATAACTAGAGATTGTAATAACTAGAGATTTATACATCGCTTTATAGCCGAAAAGAACTCCAAATCGGAAGATTAAGTTCAAGCCATCTAAAGTGACTCATGAACATGTATATAAGATAAAATAGATAAATCAATTCTACATTTATTACACGCTTCGACATTTAAATATACGCAACGGATATTGGATAGTATGAAACATGAATTTATACGAAAAGTTATTATATGACAACCCTTCACTGCGCAATACTATTGAATACTTATTAGTCATATAGCGTGACCTGTAACTTTTCATTACTAAGTAATCAATATGTAACCACTGTATTATTAGCAACACATCAGTATTTAAGTTTTTAGCTGCTGAACATATTTTTAGTACTACTGGAGGTTTACTGAGCGTACAGTGACAAATACTTACAAATACTTACAAATACTGACGCAAATACTGACGCACGAGACAAGCTATCGTAATGTGTGTTTATTACAAGCACCGTTCTACTTCCACTACAGTATAATACACAGTATATTACACAGTGTAATACACTGTGTAATACACTGTGTAATAGACTGTGTAATAGACTGACGTTTACTTAACAGACAGGAACTCTGTAATATCTACTGAAATCAAACTTAACTTAACTTAACTATTCCTTAATTCCCAGCTGACTCCACGTAGTTGAGTTATATATCCGAAATTAGCAGGCAGATTAGTTTAGTGAGTATTGGCTCGCATTTTGCGGGTTTTGGCAAATACCTAAGTAGAGAAACCCTTACATGAATTACAAAGGATTTTGTAGAGATACATTTAATGTTTGGTAGTAGGTACTGCTCTTCTTAACTTATCATATTATATAGAACGTGAATTAAAATGTAAAATACGTGTAATTTAGGAATGTTTGTTGGTAGTGTCAGACTTTTAAGTCATCTAACTATCTAACTAGTACATGGCGTAGTGTTCACTGTTCCATAAAAATGTATTTTATATTAAACAGATTTTGATTGCTTTATGAGTATTAGCATAATATTGACTGGTCTATTTAATGAAATAAATAAATAAAACAGTTACATTCCAGATGGATTAGGGCAAAAGGCATATTATCATGCCTATGTTTAGCGTGCCTTGATTTATTGTTTATTTATCCTTTCTCCCAAGGCTAAGTAGTGAAGTAGAGGCTTCATGTGCAAATCCTTTGGCGGACCTGGAGGAACCGAACTGTAAACCAATGTAAATAATACCCCTATTTACTGTGCACCTCAATCTACCAGTCAAAACCCCCGAGAGGCCCTGTAACTGCAGTTATATCGATATTGTACCATGATTCTACTCGTAAGCATGTGCATTGTGCCCCCACATTTAGTTAATACAGTTTCTAAACGTCAGAACTGATAAATATTATCACATTGTATAATTGTGACCTAAGTTTTGTGACCTATGTGAGTGATCTACCTGTATCGCTGTGGTTACGTTAACATAATATGGTAACTGTACGTCTAGACTTGATATCTCGTAATACCAGGATCTTTACACGGATGATACGTATCAGGTTGTTGACGACAACTGATGTATATATATATATATAGTACATTGGTATGCAGTACATGTATGTAATTGGCATGTCTCACCAGGTTTTAGGTCGGACCCTTATAGGATATATTATTATGAACAAGGTGTTCCAGGGTTGGAACTTTGAAAGCGTTCTTTAGTGGTAAACTTAGCTGTTATTACAACAGGTTATTCTAAATTTAAACATTGAAACTAAGAAATCAAGAAATGCGAACTTGTTCGAAATTCCAAAAATTTCTCGAAATGAAATATCCCGGTAATTAAATTATGTAATATGTATGTTAATTTTGTCTGTTACGGAAAAATTCTGGAACTTTCTTAGCTAGGCTTCATAAAAATGATTTAGTTTGGCTTTAATTTGGTGCCAAGCTAACTTATGTTACCAAAGAATCAGAACCATCGCATGGTGGCATCAGCGACTACTTTACTGAACCAAGTGTTATATAATATATATATATTATAAAGTTTCCGTTATGAATATGAAAAACGTATGGCGACATGATGCATTTTATCAATTGGTAGAAATACGTTTGCTAAATTAACAGGTATGAGTATTACAATGCCAACTATGCTGTTATATGGTTAAGTATGTGGTATGCCCCGTTATGGTTACAATACAGAAATTACACTTTGCCGGAGCAGCCAGAAAACTTTCTCGACGACGAAAATAAACCTCTTCGTTCGAGAAAGTTTCTCTTTTTACGAGAAAGTTTCTCGTACAAAGAAGTTTATTCTTGAATAATATTCCTGAGGAGTGAGGAAACTAGCGTGGGTTAGAGATATTAAACAATATCCTGTTCAGAAGTCACGTATGATAAATCACCTAATCACGTATTCCAACGGTCAAGAGTTACTAATTATAGATTACAAATCGTACAGGCCCTTACCATACTACATAATTATCCTAATTATACCCTCTGACATGGACAGTTCCTATTTAAAAGAGTTGGCAGTCAGTATAGGGTATCATGATGTCATTTCACTTTAATACAATCATCCACTTAAAGACACTAAACACATGATAAATTTCACACAAAAAACCCAACCAATCAAGTTTCGTAAATCAGACCACGTGACAGCCACCTGACCAATCACAATCAGCCGGCCCACCTTGACTAATACCTGATGTGTGGGAGTGTATGTGTAATTAGATAATGGGGTGTAATTAGATAATGGGGTGTAATTAGATAATGGGGTGTAATTAGATAATGGAGTGTAATTAGATAATGGGGTGTAATTAAATAAGTGTTCGAATCCAGCTCCAGAGAGTGAGAGCGTGTTAAATCTAACACTCAAATATCTGATATTTCGTGTACTTGTGACATCTGTCATATGTACAGTTTCTTACACCGGATATAGTGACAATAAACTAGAAACTACATCCTAGATACATGCATTCTTTATTCTCTAGCATTCCATCTGGAGGAACTTAAATAATTTTACTTCTTAAGTTAAGGAACTTGATTAGTTAGGAACTTTATTGTGATATCTTCAGATTATCCTATTTAAATATTTATACTTGGGTGAGGTGAGGAACAATACATTAAACGCAGTAGACTAATTATAATAGACTAGTAAACTAAATGTAGGCAGATTCTAGACATGAATGTAACTAATCTCATAGCACCACATTTCTCACCGTCTATCTAACCACGTATCATCGAAGTTACTTGATTTACTCGCAATAAAGAACCATAAACACTTTAAACACACCCTCTCACCTGTAACTTAAACTTACACTATCACCCGTAACCTAAACCAATCAAAACAATATTGTCACCTCATGCAACGCAATACAAAACACTACATGAAACACACTTTAACATAGTAGTCACACTTTTACACTTTAACTCTCTCTCTTTTAATACACGATGAAAGAAAAGTGCCCAACTCGATCGCATCGTATTATAATACACTAAACGCTGCGTGTGACTTCTTCAAACGCTGTTGATAAGGCGCTGCTGCTGTGTAACACTTACTGACCTAGCCTTGTTTAATTATATAACTGATGATGTCATCATGACGTCATACGTTACGTGATGTTACACAGTGGGGGGTATTGAGTCTGGGATGTCATTAGAACTTTATTGTGTAGGGGCCGGGTGTGAATTGTGTGAATTAAGTCCTAACGGCTGTGAGCTACCGGCTACAGGAACACTAGGACTACATTGTTAGAAATATAATATGTCATCTACATCTGCATCTGCATCTGCATCAGCTCTGTATTCGTGTTACGAAGGAGAGTACAGTGATATTTGTAAAATATCGACTTAATGAATTTTAGATATTCAATAAAACCCCAATTTACCACAACCCAATTTACCCGGGGTGTTTCCTTCCCCAAAACTCCGTGGCGAATCGGATTTTACTGTACCAGCATTTTTCGAAATTCCAAAGCTTTAAAATACCAGACATCGTTGCCTAAACACTAAAATGGAGTAGTAAATATTAGAGATGTTTGCCGGCCAACGACTGGCGAGTTCCGGAATAAATTTATAAACATTTTCTGTATTACAGTAAACATAGTATAGTATAGGGTGGATTACTTGATGAAATATCAGAGTGTATACATGTTCTACATTCCAAGAGCCACAAGGCTGACCGTTAAAATAGATATGCTCTAATCTAGATGATACTTTTAGATGAGACGTTAAACATGAGATTATATGCTCATTTCGTGTGAGCTGTTGGAGAAATAGACATTTTCTTGGATGTGTCTTAAAGACAAGAATTTTAACATTGCTTAGTAAATAATCTAAAGAATTGAAGAAAAAAACTTACTTCTATGAGGCTGATTTAATTAAGGGTCAAGATTTAACATATTTAACATATTTAACATATTTAACATATTTAACATATTTAACATATTTAACACTTTCAGGAGAGGAACGAAATATATCAGTAACGGTTAAGTCCTCTAAAGATTATCCTCTAGATGTGTACTATCTTATGGACTTCTCTTATTCTATGAAGGAGGATTTAACCAAGTTAAAAGAGTTGACTAGTAATATAAGTAAGTGTGTTTCCGCCTAGTACTACTAGCCTTTCATGATATTCCCATAATTTGTCCATAATTTTTGAACCGAAATAGAAGTGCATAAAATTGATATTTCCAGACTGATATTTGTCCATAAATTCTGAACTAATACATAGAAGTGCAAAATTTAGATGTTTCTTATTCATATTATAAGCATGTGATTATTTCAACAACATTTTATTCCCGAGATAAGAATTTAAATACGAAAAATCCAAATGTTAAACCCTGATAGTACTATTTATTTGATTACCGGATATGATGATTTCTTTTCTTACGCTTACTTTGCTTTAGTTGACAACTTGAAAGATATTTCCTCAAACTACAGTATTGGTTTTGGAACATTCGTGGATAAGCCCATCTCGCCCTACGCTAAAACTGGTTAATATTTTTCTTTAAATCTAGATTAAAAAAAGTAAAAGCTTGCATTTTGCTGCAAACTCTTTGAAATACTTGAATTCGTAAGTATTTCTAAAAGATATTCACTTTTTAAAACTCCTCTTAATACTTAATATCTTAGTTGCCAAAACTGAATTTTCACCCAAATTTGTTGCTCTCAAATTAATGGTAAATAAATTAAATTAATGAAAAATTAGATTAATGGCAAATAATGTTTGTTACTCAAATTAATTGAGCTCAAAGTTTTGGCACACAAATTTTTGGGAACTAAAGCATCCCAAATATTTCGTCAAAGTGAACGCACAAGCTGCTAATTTTAGAAACATTTAAAAAAGCAGCAGAGTTGAGATAGAAGTATGTCAGCTGTGAAGACTGCTGAGTGTGAAGTACCCCAGCTATGAAACCCTCAAAGTGTATACACTGTCAGTAGTTCAGTAGTTACCGTGCTAGGACACGGTTGTCGGTTAAACATTAAAACAACCCATAACATGCTGCTTGTCTTCTCCTAGACTCTTCTAACTTTAAACTTATGTTATGTTTGACGTGTCTTGAGTGCAGAGCTGTGAACAATACAACACCTTCAAACTTTCAATTTTACCTATCGCAATATAACTTACTGAACATTGTTCATTGAACAGTATGAGCTAAGAGCTTGGAGTGTTACTTTACAGTTTACAGTTAAGCTTATAATATTGTTACAATGTATAACAGCGTTGTGATATGTAGTATCCTTGGCCTGCTAGTCAGTGTCTCAACAAATCGTACATAATCTCCGCTTGTTATTATGACAACGTGTTAGACAACATGTTGTTGGATATTGTCACTTCAACAGTGCTAGCCAATATGTCAAGATGACTTTGTCATTTATTTTACAATTAATTTAAGCTGATTTGAATTATTAGCTTCATGTTGAATTAACGGGTCTGTAAAATTTCGAATAAAGAACATCGTGACCAGGGCTTTGTTAAAATATTCACATAAAATTAAAATGTATCATTTTTACAGAACCAGGTCAGATAGAGAAGCCATGTGAATTGTGTCAAGCTGTACATTCCTTTAACCACGAAATGAGCATGACTTCAGGTGACGGTGCAACCGAGGCTCTCAAGGTATGGTTTAAAATATTTCCTTGTGTTTGCATTGAAATTAGTACTTAAATGTATATTATTGACAAGTTATATGCCCACTTAAATTAAGCTTTGTCTTATGAGGTAGTAGAATATTATTCTGTTTTATTGGACCATTGTATTACAATTATAAGACATGCCGCCTAGCATGTAAATCGCGCTTTGTTCTTGTGTAATCTACGGATTACAAAGGAAATGCGTCTAGTTGCTCCGTTCAAAATGTGCATTCGATGATTGAATTATCAGTAAACTTTAGATTCGTATTTATTAAATCGAAATCTCGCTTACAATAACATGAATATTATACCAAAAAAGTAGAATATAGTCAAGAAATATAATGATCTAATGATCACCACTTCAAAAATCGTTTCATTCCTTCGATAATAGATTTCGGCTATTTGTATCGCAACATTATTTGAGATGAGGTACCTTGTATTAGATAAACGACCCTCTTCGGCCGTTTGGTGGAAGCACGATGATCGCAGGGAAGCTCTATATTACTCACTGTAGATATAACTTATGCTTTTGAAACCTCACAAATGCTGTCATACCGGTCGATTACGTATGCCTGGATTCAGTTTCATATATTGCGTGAGCGCGCGCCGTCGCCTAATGGTATACGCATATACAAAGTGCTGCGCGCGCCGCGCGTGTGTAGTTTCTTAATTTATAAATGTGATTAATCTGATCGATCAGGCGGCTTCGTCGTGGTCTTCTATGCATGGCGCCGAATATGAACAATAAACATGTAAGTTTCTCCCATACTACCGACCAAGATTGAACAATATATTTCTGCAGTCGAGGTTAAGCAGTTTGAGTATCTCTTCCAATGTGGACAACCCCGAGGGTGGTTTTGAAGCTATCGTACAGGCTGCTGTATGTTCTGATGTAAGTTGATAAAAAGCCTGAGTTCAGGTTAATTTAAGATTATGTTCGGAAGAAAAATCAATACGAATTTATTGTTTTATAATTCAATGTTGTGTTTTACAGCTTATAAAGCAGTAATTTTAAATTTTGAAAAGAAAGCTTTAATTTAATTCTGTTTTCATCATTTATGTTGTTAATGTTCCCCCCTAATTACTAATGTTACTTAATACTTATGTTACTTATGTTACTTATGTTACATATGTTACTTATGTTCACCCCCTCAGGATATCGGTTGGAGGGACCCCGCTCGAAAAGTCATATTCTTCGCTACTGATGCTGTGTTTCACGTTGCTGGAGACGGAAAATTGGCGGGAATTGTTGAGCCCAATGAGGGGACCTGTGGAATGTCAAATAATAAGTACACTCGTAGTTTAAATCAGGTTAGTTATCCTACTGCAGTTATCATATGTTTATGAGATGTGTTTCCCAAATCATAATTTTAATTGTGCGAAAATCGTCCGATTTGTCTGGACATAATAAAATAGCCCGTCCAACGTTAGATCAACATGAAATACATTTTTGAGTGTACAAATTGGTACCAGCCACCAGGTGGAGCGAATAAATTAGCCGGGAACAACAAATAGTAGCATAATACTCCCCTGAACGTGATTAATGATCCTGTTTATAGCTCAGTTGATTATTAAACCTATTTTGTCCAGGATTACCCTTCAATTGGCCAGCTAAACGATGTCCTGATAAAGAACCAGGTGATCCCCATCTTCGCTGTTACCGCTCAGATGCAGAATGTTTATCAAGAGCTGTCAGAACATCTTACCCAACTTTCATCCGTTGGTAAGAGCTTATTAGTCTTAATATAGTCTTACTATGTAGCTTACTATTAGTCTTACCATAGATGTGGATTCTGGTGGGGAGGTGAGACGTATTTTTTTGACAGGAATATACCAATCTGCTTTCACTACAAACCCCAGAATTACTGTCATGTGTCAAAAAAAAAGTCTCACTTCCTTTCCAGAATCCACATCTATTAGTCTTACTGTGAAGTACAGCTTATTCCGAATGTTTGATTAGGACTACTATTCAAATCACGATGCAAATTCAAAACATCCGTTCAATTCTTGACAGTATAACTCCCCATAATTTCCCGTCCATGAAATTAAAAGTAAATAAAAAATTCATTCCATTCTAGGAAAGTTGAGCGACAACTCAGACGATGTAGCTAACCTTATCAAGGATCAGTTGGAGAGTATCGTATCCTCCACCCAGCTGAACCCTCAAGCTCCTCCCGGAGTTACAGTCACTGTGATCCCCAAGTGTGCTGGTGCACAGGTAAGTTGGAGAGAGGGTGGCATGTTCGTAAGTAGGAAATACACGTTTACATAATAAGATAAAATCAAATACACGATTAAAGTAAAATCGCACATGTTTTATTTTGACACTCACGGTTATATAAGTCGCACGAGGGAGCTATTATATATGTGCGAAGGATATAGACTAGACTTTGCCAAATATTTTTCTTCAGAATTATGCGGTCTTTGTCAACATACTCAAAGTTCAGTTTTAGTTATATTACATATATTATATACTACTGACTGAAGATAAAAACGTACTCTCCTTATAACAATACCTTTATTCAGACGGAAATGGTAAACGGACAGGGATGTTCAAATGTAACAATAGACGAGGAAGTTAGTTTCAGTATTGTAGTTAAGGTGGCCGAGTGTTTGTCAGAAGAGGAAGCTAACTCCTACAACTTTAACATTGAGGTAATTAATAATTATCCTTCATCAGAACTCCTGTTTGCCATTTTTAAAACGCAGAATTAAAAACCAGAGCTTTTACGCCGCACATCCTGTAGTTTACCTCACAAATTAATTAATATCCTTGGTTTTGGTCGATTTTTTCCCCAATGTTTATATTTAGTTTTTCACTGTCATTAACTACAATCGTGGTGGCACCCAATATGAAGGTCCATTATCCAATTATCCCATTATCCAATTATCCAGGTTCCCGGTATAGCTACTATCCCGATCTCTATTGACATGATCTGTGAGTGTCCCTGTGAAAAGGACGAGGATAATATAGATAAGGGATCTGATAAGTGTAACAGTGCAGGGGATCTGATCTGTGGAGCTTGTCAGTGTCATGCGGAGAGTTACGGTAAAAACTGTGAGGTAATTATCTTGTTATTTAATGGTTTTTAATTGGGTTTTTAATTGGTTTGAGCACGTTCTGAGTATCTGCATCATATCTTTATTTCTGGAAATAACTGGATATCAAGGTCACACCAATCTTACCTGCCATTTACTAGGCAAGTATCTGCTCGGGCATCAATCCGACTTATTAGCACCAAATTAATTAACCAATCAGCAATTCCACTGACTCAACAACATATTGCTCCCTTTCAGTGTAACCAAACTAAAGACAAGAGCAAGGACAAATGTATTAACCCAGTTTCCGGAGCCATATGTGGGGGCGACAACAACGGAAAGTGTATTTGTGGACAGTGCGAGTGTATCCAACCTAGCAGAGACAATTACCAGAGATGGGGTAATGTGAACTGTTTCTTCCATCTATCTGTATTGGTCTGATAACAAAGACATACCTACTCACTGACAGACAGACACACCGACATAGCGAATGACTGATGACCGATAATATAGACTGACAGATAGACTGACTCACGCAGATATCTTTCGACCGATAAAACTTTCTTTTTTGAGATCACGACAGAATGAACCTATTATAGCTGAATAAGTAATAAAAGCTCTGATAACCAAATTGCTGTAAATTGTTAAGTTTAGAAACATTCAATTCCGAATAATCTTGATGACAAGTCTTCCCAAATATAAAACAAAAATAAATTAATTGTCTAATAAATTATTCACGTTACAGGAGAGTTTTGCGAGTGCAGTAACTACGAGTGTCCCCGTAATGAGGATAATCAGATTTGCTCTAATAACGGCTATTGTTTCTGTGGAGATTGCGACTGTAACAAGACTGCTAATGGTTTGTCATGGGGTGGACGGCAGGGGGGTGGGGGTTTCACAATCTGCAGACCTCTCACATTGGATAATATTTATAATTTTCTTGTGATTAGCTGTTTTTGAAATGACCATAGCATAGGTAAAGTGAGGAAAGTGAGATATTGGTGTATTACATACTTGTTGTTAAGATCTTCTTATCTACACAACTCTCTGATCTTATATCTTATCTACTCTCTTATCTACTCTCTTATCTACTCTCTGATCTTCTCTCTTATCTACTCTCTTATCTACTCTCTTATCTACTCTCTTATCTTCTCTCTTATCTACTCTCTTATCTACTCTCTTATCTACTATCTTATCTACTCTCTTATCTACTCTCTTATCTACTCTCTTATCTACTCTCTTATCTACTCTCTGATCTACTCTCTTATCTTCTCTCTTATCTTCTCTCTTATCGTCTCTCTTATCTACTCTCTTATCTTCTCTCTTATCTACTCTCTTATCTACTCTCTTATCTACTCTCTTATCTACTCTCTTATCTTCTCTCTTATCTACTCTCTTATCTACTCTCTTATCTTCTCTCTTATCTACTGTCTTATCTACTATCTTATGTACTCTCTTATCTTCTCTCTTATCTTCTCTCTTATCTACTCTCTTATCTTCTCTTTTATCTACTCTCTTATCTTCTCTCTTATCGTCTCTCTTATCTTCTCTCTTATCGTCTCTCTTATCTTCTCTCTTATCTACTCTCTTATCTACTCTCTTATCTTCTCTCTTATCTTCTCTCTTATCTACTCTTATCTACTCTCTTATCTACTCTCTTATCTTCTCTCTCTGATCTTCTCCATTTCAGGTACCCCTAAGCAAACAACAGATCCTCAGTTTACAGGCAAGGATTGTGGGTGCCCTGTCTCTAAAGAAGGCTGCATCCATCCCGAAACTGGCATTGAGTGCTCTGGTATGTGACATTTATTGTTGATATAATATGACGATAGATTCCCTGAATTTTAAATATTGAATTGTTTACTTTCTTTTTAAATTGAAGGTGAAGTGTTGATTGCATTTTGTAATTGAATGGATTTAATTGAGTTTGTTTGCACCGTGTTAAACACTACTCTACACTCTACACTCTACACTCTATATATTCAACACTCTACACTCTCTATATTCAACACTCTACACTCTACACTCTCTATATTCAACACTCTACACTCTACACTCTCTATATTTAACACTCTACACTCTACACTCTCTATATTCAACACTCTACACTCTACACTCTCTATATTTAACACTCTACACTCTACACTCTCTATATTCAACACTCTACACTCTATACTACACAGGGTCTACTAACGGTGAATGTGTGTGCGGGGAGTGCCAGTGTAAACCTGACCACTACGGCAAGTACTGTGATATCTGCCAGAACTGTGGTCCTCTCAACTGTACCCTATATCTGGATTGTGTGGAATGTGTCTACGAGAAATTCGATGATGTGAGTATAGTAGTTGTGTGGTTGTAAGTGTAGCGGTTGACCGGTTAAGAGTACTCTTTTAAGTTTTAGCTGGTAAATGGCTTCCTGCTATAATAACATCAGCATAGGTCGATCTTGTGCCATATGGTCCAAATTTATGGTTAAAAATGTATGGTAAACTACCTTATTAAATGAAATTTTTACGACACTTAATTGTGCGTCAAAATCGCACAAATTAAGCGAGCAAACATTAAGTGACGCATATTTAATGTGCACACTTATCAAGTTCGCAGACTCAAATTTACGGCAGTAAATTTTGCATCATACGGTACGATATATGTAATTTGGTTTTGTTAATCATTAGTGGTATTTGAGTTGTGGAGCTCGGCACGCCCTTTTCTTCGCTGGTATAACGAGAGCTTTATCTGCTGAAGCTCTCGTTATACCAGCTTGCCAACATTTGGATGAATCAAAAGAAATATTTTTGCAGATTTTACATAAATTACTAAGTGATTAATGATTACTATAGTTACCGGTTACGTCGTTCCAAAGGTTATTGATTTTGTCATTGATTTAATTTTCTCATTGATTCACTGAAGCTCCAAGACGATATTTCTAATCCTAGAGTAGAGATTTTTTTACCAGGATAAAGAAGCGTGGAGAAACTGTGAGTGTGATAAAAGTACGGTCCTTTCCAGCGACGAAACAGTCGATACCACAAAACTAGGTTTGTAAATGTAATGTAATGTAATGTAATGTAATGTAATGTAATGTAAGGTAATGTAACTTAATGTAACTTAATGTAACGTAATGTAACGTAATGTAACGTAATGTAACTTAATGTAACTTAATGTAACGTAATGTAACGTAATGTAACGTAATGTAACGTAATGTAACGTAATGTAACGTAATGTTGTTCAAATTAAAACTCGTGATAGTGAATTATCCTGCGAATGTTTTAGAATATTTGGATATTTTGACATTGTGTAGTCGTCTCGTTTCTAAAATTCCACCTTATACAGGTCGCCACAAGCAATGTGAGCCGATACCTTACGACGACAACTGTAACCTGATATACTTCCTTCATTACACGGATATGGGAACTACCAAACAGCGCATCTTGGACGAGATCCTCATAGATAGGGAGCTAGGTAAGTTTAATGTAGTAATCTGGAGAACCTTGCCTTGAGAAAAGTATAGATGAGATCCTATTTCTCATCTAATTTGCACGTGGGCGGTCGTACAGACAGACAGCATAAATAATTCTCTGAATTATAGTAGAGATACACGGATTATATCAAATTAAATATGTAATGAATATTCCAGACCTAACGAGAAATTTCTCTCAGATTGTCCTTCGCAGCCTGATATTATCGCGATAGTTGCTGGCGTGATAGGTGGCATACTTGCTGTGGGAATACTTTTACTCATCCTGTGGAAGATATACACTACTATTGTCGTGAGTTTATTTTCAATATGTTGTTTGTATTCAATGATCCATTTTGATTTTTGAAAGTCCGTGAGTGATTTTTATTTTTTGTAATTATGTTTGATATATGGGCATTGGGCACCGTATTGGGCAAATTATTTAGTTATATTTCATACAATATCTTTGTCGCATAGTAGCGGGGTAGTAAATACAGTGTTTCGTTTCGTTTCGTATACAATGCGCCGGTGCTTTTCAGTTATTACTGTATTTAGCGCTTGATTGATATCGATGTTTTATCACATTGTTCTTGGTAAATTCTTATCTCAACACAATGCAGGATAAACGAGAATATACCAAATTCTTAGAAGAGCGTTCCAAAGCAAAATGGAATACGGTAAGTTATCTGTTGCCTTGCTCTTTATTCTCAAATCGCGTATGGAAATTCTTTTCGCCTACCATTATATCCATCTTTAAATTAAAGTTAATTTTTCATCAATATGGTTAATACTGACAAGATAATTTTCTTCGGTTGTCCTTAAAATTTGTGGGATTTCTCACTGATTTTACAAGATTTCGTTAGTCACAGCTCAACAAAATTAGCCAACCCCGACTAAAGTTTTCTTTAAACCGACTTTCCATAGCAACCGAGCCTGATTTGATTAAGGGAAAGGCTCGAAAAGTTTTATTTTTGACGTGTACGAGAGAGAATGGTGATTATGCAATATGCAGATCTAATCGGTATAACTGTAAATATTTCGAGGAGTAATTTGCGCTGTTAAAATGAGACCCCCGCTACAGCCTATTTGTGTGTCAGCCGTGTAAAGTGTAAAGTTACTGATTTTAAGCATTTTCCATTTGTTGTGTGTAGTGTTAAAACAGCGATCAGGCGAGTGCTGCAATTTCCGGGTAAAGCTCATTGTGATTAAGCTATAAGGTTATTACTATAATTTTGCTCCTCCGATAAAGAGTGTGCACATATTTTAGAAAAACAGCCCTGCAATTTTCACTTTTCTACACGTGACGTCATTCCTGACTCATTCTGACGTCATAACACATACAATGACGTCATAACACTCGTTATGACGTCATAACACATGCCGTGGTATATCCTTGCAGGACAACAACCCTCTCTACAAGAACCCCGTCACCCACTTCCAAAACCCGCTCTCTTCACGATCTCCAAGTTTCGTCTACAAAGAACCTGCTAATTCTCCTCCTCCTTCCTCTCACCCCACCTCTCCAACCAACTCCGACACTGCCTTCGACTTCTCCCGCACATCTTCCTCTACAAACAATCAGTTACCGCGGCGGTACAATACTGGTGACTTTAACGATCACAAAGTGTCTCCGGTGAAGAATGCGGCACCCGTCGAAGAAAAAATAATAAACTCACCAAAACCACCTCCAGTAGAATCACCGCCAGACGATATCTCCACCTCTATCGACATAGCCTCCAACATTGGGGAATTTGACGATATCCTGGGAGACATCCAAAGTACTCTCTCAAGAGACACTATCATTACCAACCCCAGTGTTGCTGGGGGACGTTTACCACCCCACCCACTACCATACAGTTCACCGCACAGAGCAAGTCCTGCTTTACCACCAAGAGGGACCCCAGACGTCTCACCCCGTGCTGCTTTACCACCTCGTGCACATAATCCCCACACCCTGCCGTTAAGAAGGAGGGACTCGAGGGAGGGACAGGATGGTTACCTGGAGTCTAACTTGTAGTATTTTGTGAGTGCAGGAATGCTGCTTTGGGTAAATATTTCTTATTTAATATCATGCAATCTCTTTGCAGTTTGGTTTCACGTTTGTGATGTTGCTTGATCTACCGGCAATAATAAGGACCGTAGTGTTTTTTCGAACGATAAAGTCATTTTGGCGCGGAGCTTTTTAAATTTACGACATAGGGCGAGGCTTTGGCTTTTATTGATAGCACTTCTCCGTTCCATATTATTGCCGTTGCTTATATTCAGTTCTGTGCTTGGATCCTACTATACAATGTTCTGCATTATAAATGTTTTAATGTCATCTTAAAATAGTCTTATGAAAATAGTTTCAAGCTGTTTAGCATGCTTTGCTACGTCACAAAACCATCTTTTTGTTTGCCAGAATATTCCCAAGCGTGGCTTCACTGGTGCACAATTCTGCTTTTTTTTTCAAGCTGAAAATGTTATTCGGCTGCTAGACTTCAATATTTCCAAGTAAATATAGTTTTATTCGCTTTCAACTTCACCCAATCTTCCCATTACAGTCTTTGGTGATGTTTGGTTATTATTTTTACATTTTTCACGAGCTCCAGCAACTTTTTTTTCTAAAATAAAACGGGTTATGTATCAGTATATCCCGATCCGTTTTAATCTTGAAAAAAATGTTAGCTGACTATGTTTGAATTGTGCGCCAGTTTTTCTTATGAGTATTGCATGACAAAAAATTAGTTATTATTTTCTTAACCGGGTTGCTATGGAAATGTACGGCTATACTGTGAATTTGAATAAAAATTGGGAATTCGTTGCGCGAAAATTTAAGCTATGAAGTGAGAATGAAACGAACTGATCTAATAACCTGATCGAAAATCATGTCCAATGACAATCTCTTGTTGATGACACCACATGATTGATAAACCAAGTTTTCTTACAATCAATCATTTTGATAAAGTAATTAATTAATTAATTAATCGAGTCTAATTAATAATCAGGGTCTGTCTCCCTTGTACAAAGAACCAACTACCAAATACACTAACCCTGCTTACTCTGGAAAGCTTATTTAGTAGGTTGTAGAAACCCTCTCACCCCCCATTGAACTCGTAGCATGTTGCTTACTGAAATGTTATTTATATTATTGCACGGTAATTGTATTGGTGGGTTACCAGGAGTGGACAGAAAATTGTTCCTCCTAGTTCTACGTTACGGGACAGTGATGTTCTGTAATTGTGATGTAGGAAAATATGGAATCAGATTAGATTATTTAACGAGATTATTTGCCATTTTTATTTCAGATTCCAAGACAGATTCAAACGATAATTAGGGCCTTTTTCAATTGTAGCATTATCTCTACGATTTCCAATTATAAGATTATCAGGCCGATCCTGTGCACTTTTTAAAGTTGTTAACTGTCAAATTGGCCTAGAAATGATTTCACATTTAATTCCGCAGATTACATTTTTAGTAACAACTGATAATTTATTTGATATATTCAGTGATATAATGTTAGGAACATTACACCTTCATGAAATATTAAATACCATTGAAATTATAATAAATACCTAAAGTATGCTCGAAGATAGTTTTTAAGGTTGCATGAGCTTAGTGATACGTTCACCAAACGCACGTGCGTACGTACAATATGCATGAAAGTGCTGTAGTATTGATATAAACAGTATGTAACACCTCTACAAATGGAGCTTGTAGATCTAACTTCTTCGCTGACTTATCCAGAATGCTGTTATGAAAACTAATAATAATTTTATATCTTGCAATGGCGAATCCTATGAAGATGCTCTTGGATATTTATCTCATGGTGAATCGATTGTGCACCATGAACAGTCGATATCCTTGCTGTTTCGATTAACATTCTGAAATAAGAACTAGCTGAATATTAAAATTAACAGTTTTTAAGTTTTGCGAAACAAATACAAATCCAGCAGCTAACCCCGTTATCCCTGCAGGGTTTGTCCCCTCTCTACAAAGAACCAATGACAAAGTACACTAATCCTCTTTACACTGCCGCTGCTTCTAGGATGTAGGAACCTATAATTATTATAGGACTCTTCTCTCACACACACACTTATCACGTGACATTGGGTGAACTGGTCTTATGGTCTGAAAGTATCACACACACACACACACACACACACACATAACTTGTATTTACCAACGAGGGTTACGTGTTTTGCAACCTGATATGTATAAGGTGCTTTGTGACGTCACAGTGCAATTCAGATCAATTTATTCTCTGAAGAATAGTTGTGCTGATATAAATAGCTCTGAGGGTTGAATAAGTTGAATAATGTTCTGGTTATAACAAGTTTTCGAATTATTTTAAAAGTCTCCTAGGTTGCAATCACACAGCAGATAGAAAAATTTTACACAAAAATCTGATTTTTTGTTTCTAAATCCGCTTTAAGCTAGTTTTCACACTAATTTACACTAGGAATTCTCTAATGCAGTATGTTTAACTATGTGGTCTGTGACCGCATACATTCTATTGAGAGGAATTTTTACATTTTTACTGTTTTTACTGGTTCTAGAGATGATCACATGAACATGCCAATATTTCTTTGATAATTAATTAGTCGGCTATTTAGTCGACTAATTGCTCAGCTAATTGGTGAATTGATTAGTTATTATAGCTCTTGCAGTAAAACGAAAGCTCAGTTCTAATGCATTTCCTGCTTGTGAATGAGTTGACAGAATTTAATGCCATGATTTTACATCATTATCAATTTTATGTTTTATGTTTTGCTGTTTAAATTATGATATTGTACGTTTTAATGTTTTAAAAGAAATGCTAGATATATGTGTTCAAAGTTGGTGCTAAATGATAGCTTATATGTTTAGCCTTATTTTGAATTTTAAGTTTATTACAAGTGTAATATAAACCGAAAGCTCTAAAAATGTGTGTCTAGTTCCAGAAAGTCTTCTAATTTTACACATTTTGTGTAACACATTCTAATTTTACACAATTGCTTTAAAAATGAAAAAACGCAGGTTATTTGTGGTTCAATATGATCTTCATGCGATTAAACGCGGCAATAACTATTAACAATAGTAAAAATATTAAGTTTAACAATGTTTATTTTCTTATCATTTCCAGTTGGGTGAGTTCCAAATTATTTAGTCAATAAAATTGTGTTAACATAGGTATAGTATATTGATATTGTTATTGAAAATAACATCGGTTCTTTCTTTCTGCATTAATTCCTATCAAACTGGTACAAATGAGAGCTAGAGGGGCTGGGGATGAACTAAAATGGTATAAATGTCAATTTTATTGATCAAGCAAGGTCAGGTGGCTCTTGAAATGTTATTATATACACCCTGTATATTATATCGCTATTTCTATATCGCTTATTAGTTATTATGGTCGATTTTGAGTCAAAACTTCTCGGAAATGGTAATTGTCCAGTTTCAAAATATATCTTCTCCAACATTTTCAGTGGCATCGTCCTGAAACCAAGGTTGTTAAATACGAATTACGAGGGAATACGTACTGGAATACGAATACGTATTAATTCTCGAAAATTGACGTATTACGAAAAGGTGTGTCGTGCGCGCAAAAAATTGTTTGCTTTGTACAAGGAAATCACCTGCTTTCACGTGGTTTGAATCATCCAGAACCCCGCAGTTCACTGCCAGAGCACATGATCTTCATAACAATTGCATTATAGGAGTGCAGTTTTGTGTAATTAGACCGTTTAATTTAAGTTACTTTCGTGTTAGAGTAAATTTTAGTTATCTTTGAATCGATTATCGATATAGAAACAAAGTTGAAACTCTGAAATTAAATGGGGAAATAAATGTCGTGCACTCCTTTAAATTTATAATGCATGATCAATGATGAGGGTGGCGCGCAGCTGTAATGACCTAATGTTTAATTTTGAATTTGACAAATCAGCGTATTATGGCGTATTCGTGGACGTATTTAACAATCCCTAGAAATTACCGTATTACGGCGTATTACGACGTATTCTTTATTAGAACCGAATACGTCGTATTCTTTCACGAAAATTTGACGTATTTAACAACCTTGGTCAGAAGTATGTCTGGTCACTGATGTAACATGTCAATTTTATATTTTTGGAGACAACACTGAACAATCAAAGTGAAAACGAACAGCTGTGACATTTAACTAAAATCTATTAAATCAAGTCGATAACACTGCTCAGTAATGTATAGATGCTTTTACCGCTTTACTTTTAGTTGTTAGTTAAAAGGAAAAATCTTTTGAGCCATTGCTTGATCATAAAAGGGGGAAAATAAATTTTACCCATTTTGTTCAGATAAGAACCATGCTTACTAAAAGAAAAAGTTGTCTTTAAAATTGATATGATTTTCGAAAAATAATAGAAAAACAGTGTCTAAAATGACAAAGTTCCCTGCTCTGTGTAGTAAACAGAATTAAAACAGCTATTATAACCGTCCATTACTCCATTAATAGCGAAGTGTGGTAACTATGGACTAGTATCAGGAGAATGTCCATTGCCACAGTTGGTCTTGATCTTGTCAGTTACATGATTAAGGAGCTCAATCACCTCTTTAGTCATCGTAACACCCACCATCTTCCCTGAAATAAAGAAATGTACAAACTTTAACATATCTTTGTTCTTTGTGATGATGACCTGGTTAGTGTTATATTAGAATTAGTTAGTGTTATATTAGAATATATAGTTATAAGTTCATTGTACTAGACGTTTAATCTATTGCAGGTTTATTAACTACCATAGCATTGCTCTAACCAGAGCCCTCTCGCTTGCAGTAGCGCGCGACCGCCGTAGGCAACTTGTGAAACAAGTGACAAGCGCGTCACGCAGTACGCGTATACACATGGCTTTGTGAAACCATAGCACATACGCTTGTCATACGTTGTTATAGACCTGCCGCGCGGCTGTATAGTGTATCGTGGCCACTTATAAGTCTAGTGAAATGACAAATACAATGGGGGTCATGACGTGATACAAGTGAAATACAACCATAAGCATAACCAAGACGTGCACCGTATCACCCGTAAAGTTATACTTATCTGCTGGGAAAATATTAAAGCTTATTCCAGCCTTGAAGTAAAACCAAATTGAATCAAATGTTAATAATAACCACTGATGCCATCCCAGATGTTTGTTAATCTCTTGGCCATGTTCCTCGTGAAAAGTTTGTCTATGTAGTTCTCCGAGTACAGCATCAACCAGGATCTGTTTTCAACGGAGTCAAACAGGTCCAATATTTTGATCAACTTATCTGTGATCGTGTATCCCACCAGCCACTCTGAAATAATTTGTTATTTAACGATGGCAGATTGAGATGGTTTATCAATATTATATTTAAGTGGAATGATGTAAAATTCGTGGAACTGAATCATATTATTGATAAGACAGAGGAATTTAATTCTCCCTTTGAATCAATCAAGCTAGATGATTTGTTGTAAATACTGAGATCAAACTATCAATTTACAGGCTATCGTCAAACATGTTGCAAGGCGTCATCTTCAGTGACATAAGCCTAAAAATTGTAAAAAGTTAGTAAAACCCAAAATTCCTTTAAAAATCTGAACACTCTTAAAACGGTTATATAATAATTAAAATTAAGATGTTAGGAGTAACGGAAGGCCAAAAGGATTTATAGTGTTTATTCCAAAAGGTTTTAAAGTCTTGAGTTGTTGAATATATTTATGTTTATGTTTCACGACTTCTACAGTTTTAGGACTAGAAATATCAATAATGAAACAATTAAAAATTTGTTAAAATCCACCTTTGTTAAAACCATGATCCACATAATGTAAGCCCAAACTATATACCTCACTTGTTTCAACTACCTATCACCATTTAAAAGTTTATAAATATTTGACCCTATTTCTCCCAGTTCTAACCCGTAAGAGAGCGAGTAGTGCGGACCGTCGTAAGCCTTTTCTACAGAAACTACATTGGAACGAGATAAATGATGTTGTAACTCAGGAAGTTTCCAGGGACGCTTTAACCTTCTCAGCCGTAGCTTGAATTCATGGCTGCCTTTTGACAAGTTCCGCAGCAATTGTATCTTGGCATATGGCATTTGCTGGTTGACCATGTTAGGCTCCTAAAGCAAGTTCTTCCTTCAATTTAACGAGGCCGAGATTTTCGGCTTGGCCCTGTTTTCTTGTGTAACTGAATATTTCTTCCTAGGAGTGGAAGCTGTTGAGGAGGTTCTCTTGGATGTTTCACAGTGTCACTTCACTGAAACTCTGTTCTTGAGAGGTGTTCTTCATACTTCTTAGTCACAGACTCCAAATCATCAAACACTACCAAAGTAGATATGACCCTGATTGGAAGGTGTAAAGGATGTCTGTCATCAGGAGAGTGAACTTTGCGTAACAGTGACCTTGTTTTGATTTGACAACCTTATTTACTAATGTTCTCAACCATTATCCTAGGGTAACACCAGCAAGGAAGGCTTTTTTGAGGTTGTCGAGGTGTCCTTTGAGGCGTTCTTGGCAGTTATGATGCCTTCAGAGTCTAAGGCATTGGAGTATACGAACCGGAATAGATATGGTTATGGGTGGGGAGCTTTTTTAAAGTGTAGGTATGAACGAGAGTCCGTTTTCATTTATGAACAAATCCGTTTGAAGGGAGCCCAAGGAATCGAAAGTGAACATTATGTCAAGGAAAGATACTATTTAACCAGGTTCTCTTCTATTTGGTACTCATCTTGAATTAAGCCCTGGGGAGGAGTGCTTTGTTGACGTCTGCAATCCAACTTTGAACTCATCTGTAGTTCCCTCAAACAAACTCTCCGTCGTCAATGAAAAGCCTGGCTGATACGGAATCTTCTTCATGAGCTCTGGTTTACTAAAAACACATTTTGTATTCATTAGGGTAGTATACTGCTATTTTGCGATTTGGACACAAGTGATCCACCCGTAGGGATACCATGAGCTGTATGAACCAATTTGATCGAATACCCCAACAAGAGGAGCGGAGGCTTAAGTCCAACAGTTGTGTGAGCCATTGGCAGAAGTCTTCAGTCCATCTTCTCTACATGATGACATAGCGGACCTTAAGGCCTCTATGAACGAGGGGGTGGTGTTTAAGAGTCATAGAGGGGCCTTAAAGTCGTAGGTAAACGATCTGAAGCTTCTTTCTGTACTGTGGAATGTCACTATCAACGAATTTCCAACCATTGAAGCATCGGTGTTATAATCAAAGTCAACAGAAATCCTTTTCAGATCCATCAGGTAGTGGCTAGCAAGGAAAACATCACTGCGTTTTGTATTCCATCTTGAAGTGCCGTGATGAGCCTGAAGGGGCTCGACTCCTGTTTTAAGGTCTTCTTTTGAACTGTGGGATCTTTAGAGTGGGGTAGAAATAAGCTTTAACCAGGTTTGAAGTGGAAGAGGTAACTCTTATTGTTAGTAACTTTACCATCACTGTTCAGATTGTTTGGTAATACCATGATGTTATAATCTCCATTGATGGTTTGGTACCTCACTGGGGCTTTCTATCCGTAGTACTTCTTGATAGTTTGTGGGAGGTAGTCCACTGGGCCGGTCTGTTCCAAAAACAAGCGTTGATAGGTCCTCCCATGATGTTTTTAGGTTGAGCTTGCGAAGGCTTCTTGTAGAGCAGTTAAGATTCGTTCACTGTTAAGCGCATTTCCATGCGTAGACTCCTCAATGCAACCTTGGGTTGGTACAAATCCTAGCCCTTTGGTTCCAGTGCTGCTATCGCTTCAAGTGGAACTTCATCTCCCACATACCCTAGTATCACGACACTGCCTCGTCTAAGGCTTTCGAGCTTCCTTTTCTGTTTTTCGCTGTCTTTGGTCTCACGACTTATATAGTTTTCATCTTTTCGGTCACTCAAACTCTAAGTATTGTCCCCTGGATCTTTCAGTGGCCATGGTTCCCACTTTTCTTTCTCTACGGAGTTATAGAAACGGTTTTTTTGTCCCAAAATGCTTTCTTAGGGTGGTCCGTTCTTTGGTGGCATGGGGGTTTGGTCCAATTCTTCTGAATTAACTTTCTGGTTATTGATAAGTAAACAATTAGATACTATTAGAAGTTTTATTACTATACTAAACATTAGAAGTTTGTACTTGTCCCTGCAGCATCCTCCAGCTTGACGAAGAAGTTGTGTGCGTCTTCAGTGTAAAGGTCCGGTTCAGGAATTCCTTCCGAAAGGAAAATGTTCCAGTCCATTCTGTATTCACTGCCCGACATCTCCAACAAGCTCGTCGAGAGTAGAATTTAGTCTGGAAAAGATCTCATCCCGCTTCCTGTCACCTTTTTCTTTGTCTTTTGTGACTCCTCTAGCTCACTGATAGTAAATTTAGCCTTGTGTTGACATCCTCAAGCTCTGTCTCCATCGATCTTTGTTCTTTTGTGTCTTCCTCTAGCTCACTGATAGTAAATTCAGCCTTGTGTTATATCCCGCAAGCTCTGTCCCCTCCCAATCGTATCTTGTTCTTTTTGTGTCTCCTCTAGCTCACTGATAGTAGTAATTCAGCCTTTTGTGTGACATCCTCAAGCTCAGTCTCCATCGTAATCTTTGTTCTTTTAGTGTCCTCCTCTAGCTCACTGATAGTAAATTCCTCCTTGTGTTGATATCCTCAAGCCTGTCTCCATCGTATCTTTGTTCATTTGTGTCTCCTCTAGCTGCACTGATAGTAGAATTCAGCCCTTGTGTTGATATCCTCAAGCTCTGTCTCCATCCGTATCTTTTTTCGTTTTGTGGTCTCTCCTAGCTGACTGAACGTAGAATTCAGCTGTGTTGACAACCGCAAGCTCTGTCGTCCAATCGTAACTTTGTTCTTTTGTGTCCTCATTCTAGCTCACTGATAGTAGAAATCAGGCCTTGTGTTGACATCATCAAGCTCTGTCTACCATCGTATCTTTGTTCTTTTGTGTCTCACTTGCTCACGATAGTTGAATTTAGCCTTGTGTTCACATCCTCAAGCTCTGTCTCCATCGTATCTTTGTTCTTTGTGTCTCTACTTAGCTCACTGGATAGTTGAATCTAGCCTTGTGTACACACCTCAAGCTCTGTCTCCATCGTATCTTTGTTCTTTTGTGTCTCTTCTAGCCACTGATAGTAGAATTTTAGCTTTGTGTTGACATCCTCAAGCTCTGTCTCCATCGTATCTTTGTTCTTTTTGTGTCCTCTTCAAGCTCCCTGATAGTAGAATTCAGCCTTGTGTTGACATCTTCAAGCTCCGTTTCCATCGTATCTTTGTTCTTTTGTGTCTCTACTGCCTCACTGATAGTTGAAGTAGCCTTGTGTTGACACCTCAAGCTCTGTCACCAGCGTATCTTTGTTCTTTTGTGTCTCTTTTAGCTCACTGATAGTAGAAGCAGCCTTGTGTGACACATCAGCTCTGTTCCATCGTATCTTTGTTCTTTTGTGGTCTCTTTTTTAGCTCATGATAGAAGAATTTCGCCTTGTGTTGACATCCCAGCTCCGTTTCCATCGATCTTTGTTCTTTTGGTGTCTCCTACTACTCACTGATAGTTTGAACTTTAGCTTTGTGGTTGACATACCAGATTACGGAATAGGGGGGAGTCATCCATCGGATCTTTATTCTTTGTGTCTCCTCTATCTCACGATAGTAGAATCCAGCCGTGTATTGACATCTTCAAGCTCGTTTCCATCTCATTTTTTTCTCCTCATGGGTGACCTCTAGCTCAGCAAGAGTGGCGTTAATTTTAGCTGAGAGCTTCTCCTCCATCTCGTCTTTTTCTGACCGAATGTTGTCTAGTTCTTGTCTGGAGCCCACCAGTTCTTTAACGGTTACAAACACAATTTTCCTATGCTGGAACTGTTTATTAATCATACTAACATATTGAACAGCACATTCCTCTACATACATGTTGGTGGCTGCACCGCTCCTCTCCAGTTGAACCAGATCTTCCCATTTTATAACTCGTGATGCCTCATTCTCATCTTCCTCTGCGACATGAGCACACATTCCTTTCTGCACCATTCTAGCTATCTCACTGGAAGTCAATTCTTTGGAGTAAAAGTTTAGGTACATCATTTCTCCCCCAAACCTGTCGTTACCTCCTTCCCACATTCCCACTCCCAGTCTTAGTTTCCCTCCGGTACTTAGTGATCGACCTGATCGCGTTTGCTGCGATCCGATAACTTTCCCGTTGATATAGTATCGATGCTCTCTGGACGACAGACTCCACGTCATACAAGCTAGAAACCAAGTGCCTTCTGACACAGGGAACCCGCTGTTAAGTTGTTGAAATGCACTGAAGATGCCAGTGAAATATCCATTTGCCATCATTACCAGCTCACTACTGTGGTAGCTAAAGATAGTAGGGTAGAAGAATGACCCCAAGTCTTTAACCCACACACAAGCAGAGAAAGCAGTGGTCAGACGGCTCCAATCGGGATACGAATCAATATAAGCAGCATTAACTGTGTCAAACTTTATAGCTGTCATCTTCAGGAGAGTCTCTGTGGTCCCGAGAGATGGCACGATCAGCAGACTTAAAATGCTAAGTAACAAGAACATGATCTAATATCAACGAACGAATTGTAATGGTGTACGTTAGAAATGGTAGGTTTAGAGGGATCTGTCCAGTGTCCACGCTGCTAAGTTCTGAAGGACCCTATAAATTTCGTTAAATTTGCATCTGAGTAATTACAGATAAGAATATACTGTCCTGAAGATGACTAGTGCTTCGGTGGAAGGAAGCGAAAACATTGAAAGCGGGCAGACTCATGCAACAAAAAATATTACTGTTGCTAAGTTTAACGGGATTACAGATTATAAACTTCATTTATCTCCTATTCATTATTTGTGTAATTACAGATAAGAACATATAAGCCCTGAAGGTTACTAGCTCATAAATGGAAGGAAGTGGCAATGCAACATTTAAATTGGTTCAATGTCATGAAAATTTAGTACCTCCATTTACGTTCACATATTACGTAATCAGCCGATTATTTGACAATATTTTAATTCAAATTCCACTCGAAAAAAGTCAAGGGGGGGGGGGGGGGGTCTATCAAACAACTTACTCTTTCATATATTGTGGTTTGTTACCCCTTTATTCCTGGTAACCTTGGTAACTTAAACGCTAACAGCAGCTAACTATAGATAAGAGACACAGGATAATGGTTGGTAATCTTTGACTCCTGTTACATGTTAACCAATAGATCGGTCCTTAGAGTTAGCCGTCCGATGTCCATAATTTGATCAATCGCTCGCAGTTTAGGCTATTTAAATTAGGTAAATTTTTTCATAAACTATACGGTCTCGAAGATCCTTGATTAATTTCATTCTATAATTGTTTCAAAGTTTCAATAAAAGATCGACCCAACGACAATATGATTATGATCTCTAAAATAAAAAGATCAGCATTTAATTCTTCATGAAGTGGTCCACTTCAAGTGGAATTCAGTAAAAAATTCGTGATGATATAATTCTTACAAAATGTGTATATGGAGATTAGAGAGAAAACGAATAGCTGTGACATTTAACTAAAAGTAAAATCTATTAAATCAAGTCGATAACACTGAGTACAGAGTAATGTATAAATGCTTTTACCGCTTTAGTTGTTAGTTACGCGGCAATAACTATTAACAATAGTAAAAATATTAAGTTTAACAATGTTTATTTTCTTATCATTTCCAGTTGGATGAGTTCCAAATTATTTAGTCAATAAAATTGTGTTAACATAGGTATAGTATATTGATATTGTTATTGAAAATAACATCGGTTCTTTCTTTCTGCATTACTTCCTATCAAACTGGAGACAAATGAGAGGGGCCAGGGCCGATGAACTAAAATAGCATAAATGTTAATTTTATTGATCAAGCAAGGTCAGGTGGCTCTTGAAATGTTATTATATACACCCTGTATATTATATCGCTATTTCTATATCGCTTATTATGGTCGATTTTGAGTCAAAACTTCTCGGAAATGGTAATTGTCCACTTTCAAAATATATCTTCTCCAACATTTTCAGTGGCATCGTCCTGAAACTTGGCAGACACAACCTCAACATTATTTAGAGAAACTCTGTTTAGCCAGAATTTTGGTTGCGTCAGCAGTCAGAAGTATGTCTGGTCACTGATGTAACATTTATATTTTATATTTTTGGAGACAACACTGAACAATCAAGTTGAAAACGAACAGCTGTGACATTAAACTAAAATCTATTAAATCAAGTCGATAACACTGAGTAATGTATAGATGCTTTTACCGCTTTAGTTGTTAGTTAAAAGGAAAAATCTTGTGAACCATTGCTTGATCATAAAAGGGGGAAAATAAATTTTACCCATTTTGTTCAGATAAGAACCATGCTTACTAAAAAAAAAGTTGTCTTTAAAATTGATATGATTTTCGAAAAATAATAGAAAAACAGTGTCTAAAATGACAAAGTTCCCTGCTCTGTGTAGTAAACAGAATTAAAACAGCTATTATAACCGTCCATTACTCCATTAATAGCGAAGTGTGGTAACTATGGACTAGTATCAGGAGAATGTCCATTGCCACAGTTGGTCTTGTCAGTTATGTGATTAAGGAGCTCAATCACCTCTTTAGTCATCGTAACACCAACCATCTTCCCTGAAATAAAGAAATGTACAAACTTTAACATATCTTTGTTGTTTGTTCTTTGTGATGATGACCTGGTTAGTGTTATATTAGAATTAGTTAGTGTTATATTAGAATATATAGTTAAAAGTTCATTGTACTAGACGTTTAATCTATTGTAGGTTTATTAACTACCATAGCATTGCTCTAACCAGAGCCCTCTCGCTTGCAGTAGCGCGCGACCGCCGTAGGCAACTTGTGAAACAAGTGACAAGCGCGTCACGCAGTACGCGTATACACATGGCTTTGTGAAACCATAGCACATATACGCTTGTCATACGTTGTTATAGACCTGCCGCGCGGCTGTATCGTGGCCACTTAGTCTAGTGAAATGACAAATACAATGGGGGTCATGACGTGATACAAGTGAAATACAACCATAGGCATAACCAAGACGTGCACCGTATCACCCGTAAAGTTATACTTATCTGCTGGGAAAATATTAAAGCTTATTCCAGCCTTGAAGTAAAACCAAATTGAATTAAATGTTAATAATAACCACTGATGCCATCCCAAATGTTTGCTAATCTCTTGGCCATGTTCCTCGTGAAAAGTTTGTCTATGTAGTTCTCCGAGTACAGCATCAACCAGGGTCTGTTTTCAACGGAGTCAAACAGGTCCAATATTTTTATCAACTTATCTGTGATCGTGTATCCCACCAGCCACTCTGAAATAATTTGTTATTTAACGATGGTTTATCAATATTTTATTTAAGTGGAATGATGTAAAATTCGTGGAACTGAATCATATTATTGATAAGTAAACAATTAGTGAATTAGCCATTGTTCATGCCATGCTTATTACTAATACTATTAGAAGTTTTATTACTATAATAAACATTAGAAGTTTGTACTTGTACCTGCTGCATCTTCCCAGCTTGAACGAAGAAGTTGAGCGTCTTCAGTTGTGAAGGTCCGGTTCAGGAATTCTTCCGAAAGGAAGATGTTCCAGTCCCATGTTCTGTATTCACTGCCCGACATCTCCTCTAGCTCGTCAAGAGTAGAATTTAGTCTGGAAGAGATCTCATCCAGCTTCTGTTCCACCTTTTCTTTGTTCTTTTGTGTCTCTTCTAGCTCACTGATAGTTGAATTTAGCCTTGTGTTGACATCCTCAAGCTCTGTCTCCATCGTATCTTTGTTCTTTTGTGTCTCTTCTAGCTCACTGATAGTAGAATTCAGCCTTGTGTTGACATCTCAAGCTCTGTCTCCATCGTATCTTTGTTCTTTTGTGTCTCTACTAGCTCACTGATAGTAGAATTTAGCCTTGTGTTGACATCCTCAAGCTCTGTCTCCATCGTATCTTTGTTCTTTTGTGTCTCTCTAGCTCACTGATAGTAGAATTTAGCCTTGTGTTGACATCCTCAAGCTCTGTCTCCATCGTATCTTTGTTCTTTTGTGTCTCCTCTAGCTCACTGATAGTAGAATTCAGCCTTGTGTTGACATCCTCAAGCTCTGTCTCCATCGTATCTTTGTTCTTTTGTGTCTCCTCTAGCTCACTGATAGTAGAATTTAGCCTTGTGTTGACATCCTCAAGCTCTGTCTCCATCGTATCTTTTTTCTTTTGTGTCTCTCCTAGCTGACTGATAGTAGAATTCAGCCTTGTGTTGACATCTTCAAGCTCTGTCTCCATCTCATTTTTCTCCTCATGGGTGACTTCCAGCTCAGCAAGAGTGGCGTTAATTTTAGTTGAGAGCTTTTCCTCCATCTCTTCTTTTTCTGACCGAATATACTCCAGTTCTTGTCGGGAGCCCTCCAGTTCTTTAACGGTTACATTCTGCTTATGCTGGAACTGTTTAATCATAATATAAAGACATTCCTCTAAATACATGTTGGTGGCTGCACCGCTCCTCTCCAGCTGAATCAGGTCTTCCCATTTTATAACTCGTGATGCCTCATGCTCATCTTCCTCTGCGACATGGGCACACATTCCTTTCTGCACCATTCTAGCTATCTCACTGGAAGTCAATTCTTTGGAGTAAAAGTTTAGGTACATCATTTCTCCCCCAAACCTGTCGTTACCTCCTTCCCACATTCCCAGTCTTAGTTTCCCTCCGGTCCTTAGTGATCGGCCCGATGGCGTTTGCTGCGATCCGATAACTTTCCCGTTAACGTAGTTTCGCTGCTCTCTGGATGACACACTCCACGTCATGCAAGCAAGGAACCAAGTGCCTTCTGACACAGGGAACCCGCTGTTAAAGTGTTGATATGCACTGAAGATGCCAGTATAATATCCATTTGCTGTCATTACCAGCTCATCGCTACTGTGGTAGCTAAAGATAGTAGGGAAGTTGAACGACCCCAAGTCTTTAACCCACACACAAGCAGAGAAAGCAGTGGTCAGACGACTCCAATCGGGATAAGAATCAATATAATCATCATAAACCGTGTCAAACTTTATAGCTGTCATCTTCAGGAGAGTCTCTGTGGTCCCGAGAGATGGCACGATCAGCAGACTTAAAATACTAAATATAAACAAGAACATGATTTAATATCAGCGAACGAATTGTAATACTAATGGTGTACGTTAGAAATGGTAGGTTTTAGACTTATAAAAAAAGTCTTTTTATAGATGAAGGACCCTAGTATAAATTTCGTTAACTTTGCATCTGAGTAATTACAGGTGAGAATATTGTTAGGTAATAGGATAGCATAATTATGATTAAGATAATTCGTGACGTGACTATGGGTGCGGGCATGGTGTGATCGTTACCTGTCAAGGACCATTCACTGAACAGATGGTCTGTTCAATCTAAACCTTTATAATTATTGTAAGTTGTTGCTCTGACTGATTTGAGTACTTTAATTAAATAAAGATATAGGTGCAGAAAACAACGTGAATTTTACCATTGGTCAACCACCATGCGAGGCAGCCGTCCATTGGTTGCAAGTCATGTGACCTAGGTCACATGACCATAGCAGGTGGACTGGGCCTCCCGCCTCATTATAGATAGCCCCCGCTGAAACTCCGGCTCTAACTTAGATTGACGTCAATGTTAGTACCTTTGACGGATGTTACTCGTCTAAATTTAGAAATTGATCGAATATCCGGAGCTATAATAGTAACTAGTTTAGAAATAGAAGGTGCTTGGCCGGATATCATAACAATGATTTCTGCTCTTCATGATAGCATGATCAGGGTAGAATGAAACGCGAACGTAGAGAAAAGTGTTTTCTAGAGAAAAAAGTCAAGGGGGGGGGGGGGGGGGGGGGGGGGACCAACCTGGTCTTTTCAAATCTATTTATTTTCAAATCTGGTTGGTGATTGGTGAATTATGATTTTTAAACTTTGCTCTGGCCTCTGAAAAAGGTATCGGGATTTGAAATAAATTATTCCTAGGTCAGCGTGATGCACAGTTTCAAACCTTGATCCTTCTCAAAATCGACACAAACTAAAAAGTCGAGTTTAACTCTATCAAACAACTTACTTTTTCATTGTGGTTTGTTACCCCTTTATTCCTGGTAACCTTGGTATTTGGTAACTTAAACGCTAACAGCTGGCTAAAATTTCTCGGAAATAGTAATTGTCCAGTTTCAAAATATATCTTCTCCAGTATTTTCAATGGCTATCGTCCTGAAACTTGGCAGACACAACCTCAACATTATTTAGAGAAACTCTGTTTTGCCAGAATTTTGGTTGCGTCAGCAGTCAGAAGTATGTCTGGTCACTGATGTAACATTTCAATTTTATATTTTTGGAGACAATGAACAATCAAAGTGAAAACGAATAGCTGTGACATTTAACTAAAAGTAAAATCTATTAAATCAAGTCGATAACACTGAGTAATGTATAAATGCTTTTACCGCTTTAGTTGTTAGTTAAAAGGAAAAATCTTGTGAGCCATTGCTTGATCATATAATTTTTAAAAGATTAAAAGGGGAAAAATAAATTTTACCCATTTCGTTCAGATAAGAACCATGCTTAGGGGTCGTTCACATATTACGTGATCAATATTTTGGCAATTTTTACCCCCCCCCCCCCCCACTCCGTAATCAACCGTAATCAAGACCGAACCCCCCCCCCCCCCCCCTCCCTATATTACGTAATCATCAGTGTCTTAAATATTTATATGACAAAGTTCCCTGCTCTGTGTAGTAAACAGAATTAAACAGCTATTATATAACCGTCCATTACTCCATTAATAGCGAAGTGTGGTAACTACGAGCTAGTATCAGGAGAATGTCCATTGCCACAGTTGGTCTTGTCAGTTACATGATTAAGGAGCTCAATCACCTCTTTAGTCATCGTAACACCCACCATCTTCCCTGAAATAATGAAATGTTCAAACTTTAACATATCTTTGTTCTTTGTGATGTTGACTTGGTTACTGTTAGAATATCTAGTTAAAAGTTCAATGTACTAGACGTTTCGGTTTAATCTATTGCAGGTCAATTACCTACCATAGTCCGTAGCACATGGCTTGTCATACGTTGTTATGGCATATGGACCTCAGGCTCATGCCGCGCGGCTGTATCGTGGCCACTTATTAGTCTAGTGAAAGGATGATAATTAATCACTCTACACTCGACTGTCACGTGACTTTTTCAACCCGCTCTCTAGCTGGTCCTAAACGACTATTCGAAACCCTAACCCTCTTATCTGATCCCAACCCTAACCCTAACCCAATCCTTAACAAAAGCATATGCTGAAACCTTAACCCTAACGAGAAATTAGACTAACTTCCTTATACGGTCATATCACGTGATCGAGACAGTTTTTCGCCTATATCTCGTCAGGGGAGCATTTTAAACCTATGTCATGGGGGTGATTCGGAATCAGCGTCCGAAAATACATCGATTGAAGTTGGTTTCAACTGTCGGGGGCCCTTTTAGAACAATCTCGAAGATCGACTGTAGAGTGATTTAGTACGCTCGCTAGTGAAACGACAATGGGGGTCACGAGGTGATACAACCATATCATAGGCATAACCAAGACGCGCACCGTATCACCCGTAAAGTTACACTTATCTGCTGGGAAAATGTTAAAGAATATTCCAGCCTAGAAGTAAAACCAAATTGAATTAAATATTAATAATAACCACTGATGCCATCCCAAATGTTTGTTAATCTCTTGGCCATGTTCCTCGTGAAAAGTTTATCTATGTAGTTCTCCGAGTACAGCATCAACCAGGGTCTATCTTCAACGGAGTCAAACAAGTCCAATATTTTTATCAACTTATCTGTGATCGTGTATCCCACCAGCCACTCTGAAATAATTCGTCATTTAAGGATGGTTTATCAATCTTTTATTTAACTTTAAGTGAAATGATGTAAAATTCGTGGAACTGAATCATATTAATGATAAGTAAAGAATTGGCCATTGTTTACGCCATGTTTATTACTATTAGTATTAGAAGTTTTATTACTATAATAAACATTATAAGTTTGTACTTGTACCTGCTGCATCTTCCCAGCTTGAACGAAGAAGTTGGGCGTCTTCAGTTGTGAAGGTCCGGTTCAGGAATTTTTCCGAAAGGAAGATATTCCAGTCCCATGTTCTGTTTTCACTGCCCGACATCTCCTCTAGCTCGTCGAGAGTAGAATTTAGTCTGGAAGAGATCTCATCCAGCTTCTGTTCCACTTTTTCTTTGTTCTTTTGTGTCTCTTCTAGCTCACTGATAGTTGAATTTAGCTTTGTGCTGACATCCTCAAGCTCTGTCTCCATCGTATCTTTGTTCTTTTGTGTCTCCTCTAACTCACTGATAGTATAATTTAGCCTTGTGTTGACATCTTCAAGCTCTGTCTCCATCTCATTTTTCTCCCCCCGGGTGACCTCTAGCTCAGCAAGAGTGGCGTTAATTTTAGTTGAGAGCTTCTCCTCCATAGCTTCTTTTTCTGACCGAATTTGCTCCAGTTCTTGTCTAGAGTTCTTCAGTTCCTCAACAGTTTCATTCTGCTTATGCTGTAACTGCTTGATAATATTATGAGAACATTCCTCTAAATACATGTTGGTGGCTGCACCGCTCCTCTCCAGCTGAATCAGGTCTTCCCATTTTATAACTCGTGATGCCTCATGCTCATCTTTCTCTGCGACATGAGCACACATCCCTTTTTGCACCATTCTAGCTATCTCACTGGAAGTAAATTCTTTGGAGTAAAAGTTTAGGTACATCATTTCTCCCCCAAACCTGTTGTTACCTCCATCCCACATTCCCAGTCTTAGTTTCCCTCCGGTCCTTAGTGATCGGCCCGATGGCGTTTGCTGCGATCCGATAACTTTTCCGTTAACGTAGTTTCGCTGCTCTCTGGAAGACAGACTCCACGTCATACAAGCTAGAAACCAAGTGCCTTTTGAAGGGAACCCACTGTTAAAGTGTCGCTGTGAACCGAAGATGCGAGTGTAATATCCATTTGCTATCATTGCCAGCTCACTGTTGTCATGGTAGGTGAAGATAGTAGGGTGGGGGAATGACCCCAAGTCTTTAACCCACACACAAGCAGAGAAAGCAGTGGTCAGACGGCTCCAATCGGGATACGAATCAATATAATCATCATTAACCGTGTCAAACTTTATAGCTGTCATCTTCAGCCTCAGGAGAGTCTCTGTGGTCCCGAGAGATGGCACGATCAGCAGACTTAAAATACTAAATATAAACAAGAACATGATTTAATATCAACGAACGAATTGTAATGGTGTACGTTAGAAATGGTAGGTTTAGAGGGATCTCTCCACGTTGCTAAGTTCAGAAGGACCCTATAAATTTCGTTAACTTTGCATCTGAGTAATTACAGATAAGAATATACTGTCCTGAAGATGACTAGTGCTTCGGTGGAAGGAAGCGAAAACATTGAAAGCGGGCAGACTCATGCAACAAAAAATATTACTGTTGCTAAGTTTTACGGGATTACAGATTATAAACTTCATTTATCTCTCATTCATTATTTGTGTAATTACAGATAAGAACATATAAGCCCTGAAGGTTACTAGCTCATAAATGGAAGGAAGTGGCAATGCAACATTTAAATTGGTTCAATGTCATGAAAATTTAGTACCTCCATTTTATGAAATTTCAAAATTTCAATGGGCATCTCGCATTTCAGGTTTACTGGGCGGCGCTCAGCCTGTCATTCCGCCGTATCTTTATGTTTATAGGGTCGTTCACATATTACGTAATCAGCCGATTATTTGACAATATTTTAATTCAAATTCCACTCGAAAAAAGTCAAGGGGGGGGGGGGGTCCCGGGGTCTATCAAACAACTTACTCTTTCATATATTGTGGTTTGTTAACACTTTATTCCTGGTAACCTTGGTAACTTAAACGCTAACAGCAGCTAACTATAGAGACACAAGATAATGGTTGGTAATCTTTGACTCCTGTTACATGTTAACCAATAAATCGGTCCTTAGAGTTAGCCGTCCAATGTCCATAATTTGATCAATCGCTGATCGCAGTTTAGGCTATTTAAATTAGGTAAATTTTTTCATAAACTATACGGTCTCGAAGATCCTTGATTAATTTCATTCTATAATTGTTTCAAAGTTTGAATAGAAGATCGACCCAACGACAATATGATCTCTAAAATAAAAAGATCAGCATTTAATTCTTCATGAAGTGGTCCACTTCAAGTGGAATTCAATAAAAAATTCATGATGATTAATTCTTACAAAATGTGTATATGGAGATTAGAAAGAAAACGAATACTGAATATGATTTCTCTTGGAGAATTTCTCTTTAGACTCTTAACTTGCGAACAAATTGAAGCAGCAAACTTTAGGCTAGAAACTTTATTGAATTGAAATAATCATTCCACGTAACAACGTCTTCTTCAGTTCTGTAATAAAATTGTTAAACATGTGTAAAAATTAACGACGGAGAGAAATTTAAAATAACATTAAAAACAAAAACAGAGAAATAAAATTTACGAAATATGACCCAAAAATGTAATTGCAAAAAATGTCAAAACAACAAAAAATACGACAAGAAGAAATGTAAGCTAATACAACTAAATACTGTACTACTCATGATACTAAACTAATTAGTAAACGTAAAACTGGTTGTTCAGAATTCACAGTTCATGTGTAAAAACTAATGATAAAATCAGCACTTAAGCAACGATAACTCGGTTGTCATGGTTACTATCCAAGATAGTCCTATCAATACATTATTTACTAGTTAAACATCGACTAAATATTTGTACAAATAACTCAACTCAGAACGATCATTCATTTCAGGACTTAATCTCAATATATACATCGCTTCTACAATCTTTCTACGAACAGTTTTACTCTGTAAATCAAGTAACTTAAAAGATAAAACTGGGGTTCGGTTAGGATGTAGAGATGCGTAGTGCTGTCCAACCCCATTCTCTGGATGTGCTCTAGGATTCCTAGCAGCCTGTCTGTGCTCCATCAGACGAGCATGGAGGCTTCTCTCAGTTTCCCCACAGTATCTCTTACCACATAACTCGCAAGTAACTAAGTAAATAGCTCCTTTTGTTGAGCATGTTGTTCCTGTGAGTCTAGGGCAGATCTCACAATTGTTAGGGTTACCAAGGTCACAAGTCTTCTTATCCAGTGGACGAGAGCGGCAGAAGATGTCCTGTAACTTCTTACCAGGTGTAAAAATAACTCTGATGGGGAGTTTGTTAGATTTTATGTAGTTGCGAATCTTATTACAAACTGTTCCAGAGATGAATGGTAAGGTGAGTGGGACAGAGTCAGGTGTGGTTTGACGTCTTCTCCTAGTCCTCCTGTTCCTTGCGTTATGACTCAGAGGTTGGTGTCCATTTTTCTTTAAGAGATCATCGATAATCTTAACTGAATGATCGAGTTCCTGGGGTCCTGAGGAAGCAATGGTGGCATTACGGTAGAAGTTCTTCTTACACTCCTCCTTCACTGAGTCCGGGTGGTGTGACTTCTGGTGTAATGTTATCCCCTTGTTCTGGGTTTTCCTGTAGAATCTGTGGTGCACTTTTCCTTCCTCATCGATCCGGATTTCCGTACTCAGGAACGGGACAAAATCCGCAGGGGTAGACGGGAACTCGATCTCCCACTTGATTCTGTTATCGGGATCCTGGTCGGCTATGCGTTGTAACATATCCAGTGCTTCTTCTCTGGATTTGGCTAAGGAACCAGCATCATCTACATACCGTTTGTATAAGAACCGAACAGGGTTACTGATGTAATAACTGTCTAAATATATACTATTACGCTCGAATTTCCACATTCTAATAATCGCTACAGGAGGGGATGGTCTACAACCCATGAATAAACCTAAAAGTTGTTTATAAAGTCTCCCATTAAATGTAAAATAAGAATTCGTCAAAACTACTGTAAAGATACCTCTAATTTCTGATAAACTTAAACAATACGTACTTAACTTACTCCAATGTTCTTCTGCAAATTCAATAACTGTCTCAATACACTCATTGATATTCAAATTCGTATACAAAGCTGATACATCCGCTGTAAAGAACTGTAAACCTTTAAGTTCACTCTCTGGTAGCCTACAGAGGATGTCCAGGTGGCTGTAGATATCGTACATATGAGTAGGTACTTCTCTCAACAAAGGACTGATAATGTCGGTAACTAACCAAGCCAACTTCTCTGTAGGTGAGCCACAACACGATACGATTGGTCTAACTTTCATATCCTCCAAGTTGATACGAGAGTAGTCAGTATCAGGTGGGAACTTGTGTGTCTTCACCAGGGTGTACATAGTAGGTAATGTAGAGTACGAGCTAATAAATAAATCCTCAATACGTGAGTCTAATTCCATATGGTTACTGCAAATAGTCCGCCACAACCTATTACACTCTGATTCAATATCTGCACATTTCTTGTTAATTTGATTCTGATACGTTATAGGAGTAGGTCGTTGAACAGGTCTGCGTACTCCGTAACTCAAACGGGTGGGCTCTACCCATTCGTAGACTCCAGAAGTGCTCTTGTTCAGGTGTTCGATCGTTAGCGTCCGGTACGTATCAACACTAGTCACGACAAACTCGCCACACTTATCAGACTTCGAGATGTGAATGTTCGGTCTTTCCTTGAGAGTACGTAGTCCAGTTCGCTGATTAAAAGTGAGGTTTGATGGTGGCTGGATATCTGGTGCTCTCAGGATGCTCATCATAAACCGGTTGAACAATTTCAAGTCCATCTCGAGTTGTGGATCTTCGTTCGGTGGTGCAGGGATGTAGGGTCGTTGAAACGGGCATTTCTTCTTGCGTGCTTGCCTGTACAAAGAATCTAACTGTCCTGGGTTCAGAGCTTCGTTATACGCACTTATACGCACATTCAATGAATGATCGTTCTGAGTTGAGTTATTTGTACAAATATTTAGTCGATGTTTAACTAGTAAATAATGTATTGATAGGACTATCTTGGATAGTAACCATGACAACCGAGTTATCGTTGCTTAAGTGCTGATTTTATCATTAGTTTTTACACATGAACTGTGAATTCTGAACAACCAGTTTTACGTTTACTAATTAGTTTAGTATCATGAGTAGTACAGTATTTAGTTGTATTAGCTTACATTTCTTCTTGTCGTATTTTTTGTTGTTTTGACATTTTTTGCAATTACATTTTTGGGTCATATTTCGTAAATTTTATTTCTCTGTTTTTGTTTTTAATGTTATTTTAAATTTCTCTCCGTCGTTAATTTTTACACATGTTTAACAATTTTATTACAGAACTGAAGAAGACGTTGTTACGTGGAATGATTATTTCAATTCAATAAAGTTTCTAGCCTAAAGTTTGCTGCTTCAATTTGTTCGCAAGTTAAGAGTCTAAAGAGAAATTCTCCAAGAGAAATCAAGTTCAAATGCGACTCATAAATATAGCCCCCTTGAACTAGAATACTGAATAGCTGTGACATTTGGTAATCTCCATTAATAGCGAAGCTGTGACATTTAACTAAAATCCGTTAAATCAAGTCGATAACACTGAGTAATGTATAGATGCTTTTACCGCTTAAGTTGTTAGTTAAAAGGAAAAATCTTGTGAGCCATTGCTTGATCATATCTTTTTTAAAAGATTAAAAGGGGACAAATAAATTTTACCCATTTCGTTCAGATAAGAACCATGCTTACTAAAAGAAAAAGTTGTTTTTAAAATTAATATGATTTTCGAAAAATAATAGAAAAACAGTGTCTTAAATGACAAAGTTCCCTGCTCTGTGTAGTAAACAGAATTAAAACAGCTATTATAACCGTCCATTACTCCATTAATAGCGAAGTGTGGTAACTATGGACTAGTATCAGGAGAATGTCCATTGCCACAGTTGGTCTTGTCAGTTATGTGATTAAGGAGCTCAATCACCTCTTTAGTCATCGTAACACCAACCATCTTCCCTGAAATAAAGAAATGTACAAACTTTAACATACCTTTGTTCTTTGTGATGATGACCTGGTTAGTGTTAGAATATATAGTTAAAAGTTCATTGTACTAGACGTTTAATCTATTGCAGGTTTATTAACTACCATAGCATTGCTCTAACCAGAGCCCTCTCGCTTGCAGTAGCGCGCGACCGCCGTAGGCAACTTGTGAAACAAGTGACGAGCGCGTCACGCAGTACGCGTATACACATGGCTTTGTGAAACCATAGCACATACGCTTGTCATACGTTGTTATGGACCTACCGCGCGGCTGTATAGTGTATCGTGGCCACTTATAAGTCTAGTGAAATGACAAATACAATGGGGGTCATGACGTGATACAAGTGAAATACAACCATAGGCATAACCAAGACGCGCACCGTATCACCCGTAAAGTTATACTTATCTGCTGGGAAAATATTAAAGCTTATTCCAGCCTTGAAGTAAAACCAAATTGAATTAAATGTTAATGATAACCACTGATGCCATCCCAGATGTTTGTTAATCTCTTGGCCATGTTCCTCGTGAAAAGTTTGTCTATGTAGTTCTCCGAGTACAGCATCAACCAGGATCTGTTTTCAACGGAGTCAAACAGGTCCAATATTTTTATCAACTTATCTGTGATCGTGTATCCCACCAGCCACTCTGAAATAATTTGTTATTTAACGATGGCAGATTGAGATGGTTTATCAATATTTTATTTAAGTGGAATGATGTAAAATTCGTGGAACTGAATCATATTATTGATAAGTAAACAATTAGTGAATTAGCCATTGTTCATGCCATGTTTATTACTAATACTATTAGAAGTTTGATTACTATAATAAACATTAGAAGTTTGTACTTGTACCTGCTGCATCCTCCCAGCTTGAACGAAGAAGTTGTGCGTCTTCAGTAGTAAAGGTCCGGTTCAGGAATTCTTCCGAAAGGAAAATGTTCCAGTCCCATGTTCTGTATTCACTGCCCGACATCTCCTCTAGCTCGTCAAGAGTAGAATTTAGTCTGGAAGAGATCTCATCCAGCTTCTGTTCCACCTTTTCTTTGTTCTTTTGTGTCTCTTCTAGCTCACTAATAGTTGCATTTAGCCTTGTGTTGACATCCTCAAGCTCTGTTTCCATCGTATGTTTGTTCTTTTGTGTCTCTTCTAGCTCACTGATAGTAGAATTCAGCCTTGTATTGACATCTTCCAGCTCTGTCTCCATCTCATTTTTCTCCTCCCGGGTGACTTCTAGCTCAGCAAGAGTGGCGTTCATTTTAGTTGAGAGCTTTTCCTCCATCTCTTCTTTTTCTAACCGAATGTTCTCTAGTTCTTGTCGGGAGTCCTTCAATTCCTCAATTACTTCGTTCTGCTTATTAATCGCATTAACTAGACATTCGTTTGCATACTCATATGTGTTGGTGGCTTTTCCACTCCTCTCTAGCTGAATCAGGTCTTCCCATTTTATAACTCGTGATGCCTCATGCTCATCTTCCTCTGCGACAAGAGCACACATTCCTTTCTGTACCATTCTAGCTATCTCACTGGAAGTCAATTCTTTGGAGTAAAAGTTTAGGTACATCATTTCTCCCCCAAACCTGAAGACGCTTGCATACCACATTCCCAGTTTTAGTTTCCCTCCGGTCCTTAGTGATCGGCCCGATGGCGTTTGCTGCGATCCGATAACTTTTCCGTTGACGTAGTATCGCTGCTCTCTGGACGACAGACTCCACGTCATACAAGCTAGAAACCAAGTGCCTTTTGTTGGGAACCCGCTGTTAAAGTGTTGATATGCACTGAAGATGCCAGTGAAATATCCATTTGCCATCATTACCAGCTCATTAGTGTGGTAGCTAAAGATAGTATTGTAACCTGACCCCAAGTCTTTAACCCACACACAAGCAGAGAAAGCAGTGGTCAGACGGCTCCAATCGGGATAATATTCAATATTATCATCATTAACAGTAAACTTTATAGCTGTCATCTTGAGGAGAGTCTCTGTGGTCCCGAGAGATGACATTATCAGCAGACTTAAAATACTAAATAACAAGATCATGATTTAATATCAGCGAACGAATTGTAATGGTGTACGTTAAAAATGGTAGGTTCTAGAGAATCTTTCCACGTTGCTAAGCTCTGAAGAACCCCACAAATTTCGTTAACTTTGCATCGGAGTAATTATACAAATAAAATTATAAGAATATACTGTCCTGAAGTTGGAGGACTTCGCCGCTTCGACGCGCCGCGCAAACTAATTACAGCTAGATAAGAACATTAAATAAGCCCTGAAGGTTATTACTACTGCACTGTCTACTAGCTCATAAAATTAAATGGAAGGAAGGAAGTGGCAATGCAACATCTAAATTGGTTTAATGTCATGAAAATTTAATACCTCCAGATCCATGGCCATTTTATTAAATTTCAAAATTTCAGTGACCAAAACGGATTTTTGCCCATAACTCTCCAGGGAAGCATTTTAACCCTACGTCATGGGGGGTGATTCGGAATCAGCGTCCAAAAATACACCGATTTAGGTCACTTTCATGCCTAAAGGGCCTTTTCACAAGAATTTTCTTAAAATTTGGGCGAGCGATTTAGTAGGAGCGCATTCCGCCGTATCTTTATGTTTATGGGGTCGTTCACATATTACGTAATCAGCCGAGGGTCAGGGGGGTTTTTCCAAATGCTTACGGTTGATTACGGGGGGGGGGGGGCGAAGGGGGGTTTGGTCCTTGATTACGTAATTACGTAATTACCCCGATCAATTAACCCCAGTGTAATTACATGGGGGTCAATTGTCGGGGGGGGGGGGGGGGTCAATTGTCGGGAGTCACCGTCAATTGTCGTAATAAGTCCTAAATTTCGCGACAATTGACCCCAGTGTAATTACATAGGGGGTCAATTGTCGGGGCCGGGTCAATTGTCGCGGAACCGGGGGGGGGGGGGGGGTTGTTACCCCTCTATTCCTGGTAACCTTGGTAACTTAAACGCGCTAACAGCGGCTAACTATTATAGATACACAAGATAATGGTTGGTAATCCTTGTGCCTTGACTCCTGTTACATGTTAATAATTGTTAACCAATAAATCGGTCCTTATTCGGGCAATTTGCTTTCTCTGTGCATATTCAGGGCCGTCAAATGTCCATAATTTGATCAATCGCTCGCAGTTTAGGCTATTTAAAATAGGTAACTTTTTTTCATAAACTATACGGTCTCTAACTCTAAGATCCTTGATTAATTTCATTCTAAAATTGTTTCAAAGTTTCAATAGAAGACCCAGCGACAATATCTCTAAAATAAAAAGATCAGCATTTCATTCTGCATGAAGTGGTCCACTTCAAGTGGAATTCAGTAAAATATTCGTAATGATTAATTCTTACAAAATGTGTATATATATCTCTATATATAGAGATTAGAGAGAGGATATGTCCATAAACTTTGAGTCTAGTAGCGGATTTAATCATATCATTTTTAATCATGGAAAGAAATTGTGCGGCTTTATACCCAGTCTAAAAATGATTATCTCGAAGAATTCTTTACTAAATTAATTCCATATAATTAAATAGTTTGTTTTAATCTAAAAATAGTTGAACGTTTTGGTTAAATTCACCTCTGTTCGATTAGTTTTCTTTCCCACCTACTAGTACTTGTGATTTTGTGAATAATGATTAGATTTGTTTGGTTTATATTATGTGTTTGTGTGTGTATTTAAAGCATTAGCACTGCGGAAAAAAAGTTTTCTTTCATTCTATTCTTCGTGCTTCAATTCGTTACATATTTTCACAAGAGTATTGTATGATTTATGAATCTAATTATAGATCGCAGTTCCGGGACTGCACTCAATTTCGACCCAAATTTGAGAAATTAACGAACTCGATTTATAAAGGGTAAACTATACCTGGGATGAATTGTTTTGCATAACCAATTCAGTACAAATAATAACAACAAATTTAGTATTAAGTATTACTATTACACATAATTGATATATAATTAATTATACAATTCATTTTATCAATCCATCATCCATGTTAACTACAAGTACAATAGAAATAGTATTGCCAGTAAATTAACAGTAGTACATAAAAATAAACGCGTCAATACTCAATTTGATATAAATTAAGTCTTTTAGTTCGTTGATGTTAAAACGGTAATTGTTTCTCATGAGGTCATGTCGTATAATATAATGGCTTGTTTATGATTTAGTTTGCTCAGTTTATGATTTATCAAAGTTCATAGTTTGCGTAACCGCAAACTGGCCGTGATGTAATTTACCCGGCGCGACATTCACTCCACCCGCATTCATTTCACTTCTATCTTCCAGAATAGAGGGGAAGATGAGCAAGCTGGATAATGACATTCTTTTTTGGAATTATATCACGCTTGCTCTTTTAGTATTAGCACTAACATCAAACATGAAAACTGAGAAGTTAGCATATGAAGCAAGTCATAAAACTAAAACTAAAGTAGCCTGGAAAAGTATTTGTTTGTGCGTTGATTTACAGAGAGGGGAACAAATTTACAATGCCGACTCCACTTCGTAAAAAGAAAGATTTATCAGTCCTGAACTTTTTGATTTGATTGCCTCTCTATCACTCGGAGCTAAAACAATCAAACTGTTTCTCAAAACGTGTTTCTGTATTCGTTCCTCTGCGGCCAACTTGCCGGATACTGGTCTGGTTCTAGCTTTACCCTGGGTAGCTGTCATGCGCCTCTTAATCACAGGATCTGAAGCTGGTCGGTAGTATTCCCCAATTCGAGGCTTTAATTTAACCGGACTTGGTGTCGTAGTAACATCCGACTCTTGCGAGGGTGTTTTGTGAGAATGTCTGTAGATGAAGTCGTTGGAAGCAGAGAGACTAGCCGGTCTGACGGGTACAGTGACACTGTGGTGAGCACTAGTTTCTGTAGTGAGGGTCTGGGAGAAGACGCTCCCGCGGGTGGAGAAGGAGCTGCTTTGTCTGCGTAGACGGATAGCTATCTGTGGGAGGATTGTGTTAACGTTATGTTAACGTCATGTTAACGTTATGTTAATGTTATGTTAACGGTATGTTAACGTTATGTTAACGGTATGTTAACGGTGTTAACTGTTAACACTACAGAACCCTTTTAGGTTTATATGACTTAACTAGAGGATTTTATTATGTTTTATGTAAATTGTAAAATTGTTTCGTTGTAAAGGAGATCGGTCATGTTGTTATGATGCTTATTAAAAACTATTAATATTTAATATCGTAAAAAGACAACAAGTATGCGCTTTTACGCACCTTAATATCTAACTACGGTAACATCAAAATCTTGATTTGACTAACAGCAGAATCAAAGAAGATGGATTTGGCGGCCACTCGGAACTCTTTGTTTAGCAAGAAGTAGATGAGAGGATTGATGCTAGCATTACTCAGCATCAACAAGATGAAACCTTGAACTTCTGAGTATGTTACCTGAGGAGATTCAACTGGTCATAACTTAGAAACAGTCGTGTAGCTTAACATTAAGATTGCAGCTTTCAACAGTTTTTAATAATCACTCAAATTCTCCATAAAATGACTTAAAACTTGTTTTAAAAAATCAAAACCCTAATTTAAAATGGTAGTAGACGCCAAAAGACTACACCCACATTGACGTTGTAATGAAATGCTGCTAGGAAAGCTATAGATAGTAGTGGAGTGTAGCTGACTAGGATAGTAGTGCCAATAACAATGAGCAGGGTTCCTGCTTGGTTACGTAGCTTTCTGGCTGCTGCTTCTTCTTCCGACTGTAAACAGTAAATTGTTAACGTTACTCTTATGAATATTACATTAATCAGATGGCTGCTGTTAGACTGCAATAATATAACGGCCGTTAGAAACTGCGAGTAAGCTATAATACAGCTGGAACTGTTAATACCTTGGCGGTTAAATTTGTTAAGTACCACTATAAAAGATGCAAATTTCTGAAAACGTCATGACTCATGAGGTAAATTTGTTAATTCTCCGGGATTTCGACCACTTAAAACATCTTGATCTAGCAGGACTCACCAACGCAATGGACGTATTGCGTGTTCGGTACACGAATGAGTGTGGTTGTCCTGGTTGCTCTCCTTCACCTTGGTTTGGTCTCCAAATCAACAACGCTCTCAACGCTTGCACAATCTGTAAATTAATAACTTTGAAACATTTGAAATTTGAAATGAAATGATGTATAGAAACATTACATCCCCATTTCCACCTAAATTCGCGGTTTGGCCTATCTCGACCTCCATCATCCAAATCACCACACGTCTCTGAACACTTCTACGGAGCTACAAAAGTGTAAATAATGAAATATCTTATAACCTGTTTGTAGAATGACTTCTCTGTCTCCTGATCAGTGTTCATGTTGGGTGTTGTGTGGACCCACTTTCCTTGCCTCACTCTCAGTGTATCATAGCTTGAGGAGATATTTAAGGGGACTTCGTCGGATAGCCTGCATGAAAATGTGTAAACAAATATTGGCTTCTTCTTAAAGACTTCATAATATGACATGAGGATTCGCAAGCCATCAAGTGATGCTACTGATGAAACCAAGCACAAAATAATCTATATTATCATCATCCTAAGCCTTTTTTTCCAAAGAGTGAGAGTCCAATCGAAATACCTAAATACAATATAAACATTTAAAAAATAGTATCCAAATCTACCTGACGATGGGTTCGTTTGTACAAGGGAAGGTGAAGTTGGGTGTTAAATGTTTGTGGGGTTGTGTACTTTCACTTGTTTGTCTCTTCATCTGAAATCATTGAGCAGATTAACAAGTGTTTCGGCTTCATTTCAAAAGAGTGATAACAAAAATAATCCATCAATGATCCTGTAAGAATTGGGCACTATGCAGCCACTTTTACAGCTGTAGTGAATAAGTATAATAAACTTGTACTTGTATTGTATAGTAGTAATGTATATTGTATAGTAGTAATGTATATTGTATAGTAGTAATGTATAGTAGTAATTTATAGTAGTAATTTATAGTAGTAATGTAGCAGTATAAGTTATAACTATAAGTAACTGAATAAGTTATTATATAAGTAACTAAATAAGTAACTACCTCGAGTGTACTCTCACAACTAAGAGGTCTCCAACTAGGACTAGAACCAGAGATCCTGTCTAACTGACGTCTTGTGTACTTTCGTGTCGTGATAAATATTACTGCGGAGAAGGAATTGTTACTAAATATTACTAATTATTACTATAAATTACAGATATGATAATATGAAAATTGTGTCTTGACTCACGGACGGTTAATAGGGATAAAAACAATGTTCACAAGCTGGGCGTTGCTGGCAGCAGCAGCAGCGGCTGCCAAGTGCAAAATTAGACAACTCTACAAAAGTTACCAAACACTTTTAATAACTGACAGTATAAAGTTTTTCACCTAATTTTGAGCGTGTATTGACGCAGTAGATGGGGTGATACCATGTGATAACCATATAAGGGGTGATTGTTAGAAGCTAGCTACTGTTGTGCAGTCATGATATTCAGGCGAATCCACGAGATATTGTCCGAATAACACGCACAAAAATTCACGGAATGCAAATCGTTTTACCATTTATCAAATTAGGACTTGACAAGAGCAGCTCCAATGTTTTTGTCCGGAAACTTCCGGAATGTTCAAAACTAATAAACGGTCACGTGATAATCACTTTCAGTTCTATAACCGGACGTAAGGGCCTGTTTTATAATTGGTGAAACGTCCTGCCTGCAAACGGGTAGAAGGAGAGTATGCTTACCAACATAGATGGTCAGTACTTATTACTTACCGACATAGCTGGTCAGTACTTATTACTTACCGACATAGCTGGTCAGTACTTATTACTTACCAGTTACCAACATAGCTGGTCAGTACTTATTACTTACCGACATAGCTGGTCAGTACTTATTACTTACCAGTTACCAACATAGCTGGTCAGTACTTATTACTTACCGACATAGCTGGTCAGTACTTATTACTTACCGACATAGCTGGTCAGTACTTATTACTTACCGACATAGCTGGTCAGTACTTATTACTTACCAGTTACCAACATAGCTGGTCAGTACTTATTACTTACCGACATAGCTGGTTAGTATGATAATGATGGGCAGAGGTAGGAATCCTATGTTGAAAGCTAAGAAATAGGCGACGTTATATCTTGAGCTCATAGCACACCTGAGAATAATACTGATGTTACATGACCATATAAGGCAACAAAAGTGTTACTTTTTCAATGACGGGTATAGAATTGTAGCATCTTAGAATAAGTTTACTGGTTGGTTATCAACATGGGTTTGTCCAGCTATCGTTCAATTTGAACAGCTGTTCTCTGTTTACCAATAATAGTTAATAGTTATCAGTAAAATAATTCGGCCAGAAGGTAAATATGTGATTAGTCAAATCATTGTCAAAAATACAAAAGGTTTTGTAACATAATTAAGTGATTTATAAATAAATACCATGGATGGGATGGGTGGAACATGTATTTGAAGTTGTTGACTCCTAGTACTATATACTGACTATATAACAGTCCCAAAACCATGCCTCCGCCCTCCATCAAACAACGCTATATAAACTTTGAGATGTTATAAACTTACTGTCTTATTGTCCTCTGCAGCAAGTCTGAGGTTATACTCGCTGAGAGCGATGATGAAGATGATAGCATGGTTTATACATCGCCAAAACAATGTATTGAGTTACAGAAAATGAATAGCAGCCGGTTTACACTTTACAGAATTGCACATGATATATACATGACACAGGGGCTCCGTCACCAAGCAGACGATCGAGCAGACGAAACAGCTGACAGAGAAAATACAAGAAGTGATTCCGAGCGGGTGTAAGAAGGGTGTAAAGTATAGGTAGCTCAATGTACGAGTGTGCACGTGTGCGCGGCTCCGACTGGCACTAATTGTGGTAATAAATAACCATGAGCTGATATAATGATTTCCCGCCAAATATGAAACAGCTAGTACTGTGTCTTCTAGAATGTTCGCTTGGATCGATGTTATGACAGCTTAAGACAGATATTTACTAATCCACAGTTCAAATCTTTGACGATGAAATTGTAAATGTATAGGTATTATAATAGTTGAAATTTATAGATTTTAACTACCGAGCTGGTTGCGTGATGTTGAGAAATTTGTTGATTTCTGCATTTTCGAAACGTTCTTTTTTCGAAAAGGAACGCAAAGCCGTTTCCTGTCAGTCCGACTAACATTATCAAACTGAAGAGTGTTCCTGCAGAATCCGGTCCGAGGTCCGGATAACTTAAGCAGCTGTGAGCTGTAAGTGAAAGCGAGTGGCAGGTAGATATTAAACTCTTCAGCTGCTGAGTGAGAGGTGTTTTGATGCCTATTTGATGCTCAAACTAGCTTTTTTCTAGTTTCCGTCACACACCGAGATCGGTGTGTAATCGGTCACGTGCGGGTCACGAGGTAGGGATTGAGCGCGCTTAGTGGCGGCATATAGCACGTGATATTTGCAAAGCCAATTACACGCCTTATACGGTATAATCAATATATAATTGCGTGCGTGCAAGTAAATATTTTGTAAACAATGTAAGTATAAAGTTAACTTTTGCTTGGATATAAACATGCAAGTGTGAGGTAGCATAGTTGGCAGTGCACTGGTTTGTTGCTCAGATGGGTGAGAGCATGGGTTTGTCTGAACCATCCTCGAAATCGTTGTTACGTTGAAAACTGTAACTCAGCTCGATTATCATGTTACCTAGCTAGTAACTTGGTGATTGAACAGAGAGTGGAAAACCAGACGAAAGTAAAGATGAAGTCTCGGGGACCGGGGAAGCGGCTGATGATGGGCAAGAATAATTAAAGCGCCCTAGGCCGCTCCCCAAACCAGACCAATAACACATTTTCTGAAAATTTCTAATTTTCGAGGTAAAACTAAAGGTAACATTTTTAGCGACAAAATAGGCATATTTGTATGTTGTAGCTAGTAATCAGTTGTATAACTCTCGTGCACGCTGGCCGCGCGCGATCAAAAAAGGTTGCGCAACGTGTATCGAGTCATCTGATAAGCTACAACTCCAATTTTTTAAGAACAAATGTAATTCGAAATATGGCCAAACTTTGACGGATGTTACTCGTCTAAATTTCTTCGAAGTAGTGCGCGCCGCTTTCTTCTCGAAATGTTAGTGGCCCGATGGCAAGTGCTACGAAGTAGCGCGCGCCGGGCCAGATCATTAACAATGGTCAAGGCCAAACTGCAAACACAATCCGATAAAAATTAGCTCGAATCTCGATCCGATTTGCTACACGTTGTATATTTGTAGCGCGATGCATTATTGTGTACTTACTGGTCCGCGCTGCGCATCAAATAATTCTTTTAGCAACCTTGTCATACGTTGTGCGCGGCTCCCCCTGTATCGTCGAAGACGATACAGGATCACTACTACTATAGTGAAGCGACCGTGGGGGTCACCACGTGATACAATAGCAACCACAGTAGATCGGCAAAATGTTAAATGCACCACTGAGCCTGATCGCTTCGCAGAGCAAAGATTTCGATGGGTTGACATCGTCAATCAAGTTTGACATCTACTCTCACAGAAGCTCGAAAAGAGCGCTGCACATTAATATTGGGATTGGCGTGCATTGTCTCACGTCGTGACCCTCATTGCTGAGATCGTCCGATCCTGATTGTTATTCCATTTAATAATGGCATATTGGCATGGCAAAAGCCACGATACGGCCGCTCACTTGCATGCGCGGCGGGCCTACAATGTGAGGCAAGGCGTGCCAGTACAGGTAACATCGCCCTTAGCATATAATTACAGCATACAGGCAATTTTCGCATCGCATGTAATAAATGCTGCATTTTACTTGAAAGTTTCAATCGAAAAGTAATTTCAGTATTATCTTAATATTTTAACATGTAATTAAAATTGTGTTATCAGTTTGAGTTATGAACTTTAAAAGACTTTGTTTCTTCTTCCGAAGTAAAAACGGGTCAATCATAATACAAAGTGTAAAACAACAATAAAATACCATATTTTATCAATCAATATGTCACACGATTCCGTCAGTTCGAATAGGGGACATACTGCAGCTTCATGTTTTAAAGAAAGACTGGCCTATTTTTTCTGATTAATTGGGCGGCATATTTGCATCAAATAATATAAAATTGATCATTGTGGGATTTAGCACTGGAATTTAGCACGTAAACATCAGAAATCATACTACTTTAACGCTTGAAATAATAACTGATTAATAATACTGCAGATTATATTTTACTGTTTCGATTCATATCACTTTATTGTTTATGATGTTAAAGAAATAAAACATTACTTCACAGTCATACCCCAGAAAGAATAGCACTTAAAACCTAAGAAAAATTGTGTTAAGTTTTCATGTATTGTGCATGACTACATGACGTACGTATGTACATATTATTATAAATTTACTTTCACCAATAATTGAATAGTTGTAAATGATGCAGGTATTCAAATGGAGGAAAGTAGCAGTACAAAAATGATAAACCTCCCGAGTCCTGCATAGATTAGTTTTCTTTCCCACCTACTAGTACTACTACTTGTGACTTTGTGAATAATGATTAGATTTGTTTGGTTTATGTTATGTATTTATCTGTGTATTTAAAGCATTAGCACTGCGGACAAAAAGTTTTCCTTCATTCTATTCTTCGTGCTTCAATTCGTCACATATTTTCACAAGAGTATTGTATATGAATATGATTTATGAATCTAATTATAGATCGCGCAGTTCTGGGACTGCACTCAATTTCGACCCAAATTTGAGAAATTAACGGACTCAATTTCTAAAGCCAAAGGGTAAACTACCTGGGATGAATTGTTTTGCATAACCCTTACAGTACGAATAATAACAAAAAGTTTAGTATTAAGTGTTCAGTATTACTATTGTACACATAATTAATATATAATTTATTATTCAATTCATATTTTAAATCCATGTCAACTAAAAGTACAATAGAAATAGTATTGCCAGTAAATTAATAGTGTCAGTTGTACTAGTACATCAAAATAAACGCGTAAATTTGATATAAATAAAGTCTTTTAGTTCGTTGATGTTAAAACGGTAATTGTTTCTCATGAGGTCATGTCGTATAATATAATGGCTTGTTTATGATTTAGTTTGCTCAGTTTATGATTTATCAAAGTTCATAGTTTGCGTAACCGCAAACTGGCCGTGATGTAATTTACCCGGCGCGACATTCACTCCACCCGCATTCATTTCACTTCTATCTTCCAGAATAGAGGGGAAGATGAGCAAGCTGGATAATGACATTCTTTTTTGGAATTATATCACGCTTGCTCTTTTAGTATTAGCACTAACATCAAACATGAAAACTGAGAAGTTAGCATATGAAGCAAGTCATAAAACTAAAACTCATAAAACTAAAACTTAAGTAACCTTGGAAAAGTATTTGTTTGTGCGTTGATTTACAGAAAGGGGACAAATTTACAATAGCCGACTCCACTTCGTAAAAAGAAAATTAATCAATCCTGAACTTTTTGATTTTGATTGGCCTCTCTAATCACTCGGAAGCTAAAACGATCAACTGTTTCTCAAAACGAGTTTCTGTATTCGTTCCCTGCAGCCAACTTGCGCTACAGGCCTGTTCTACGTTTACCCTGTAGCTGCATGCGCCTCTTGATCACAGGATCTGAAGCTGGTCGTAGTATATATTCGCCCCAATTCGAGTTTCAATTTAACCGGACTTGGCTGTCGTAGTAACAATCCGACTCTTGCGAGGTTGTTTGTTGAGAATGTCTGTAGATGAAGTCGTTGGAAAGCGGAGAGACCTAGCCGGTCTGGACGGGTACAGTGACACTGTTGTGAGCACTAGTTTTTTCAGTAGTGATGGTCTGGGAGAAGACCTCCCGCGGGTGGAGAATGAGCTGCTTTGTCTGCGTAGACGGATTGCTAACGTGGGAGGAATTGTGTTAACGTTATGGTAACGTTATGTTACGTTATGTTAACGTTATGTTAACGTTATGTTAACGTTATGTTAACGTTATGTTAACGTTATGTTAACGTCATGTTAACTTCATGTTAACGTTATTTTAACGGTATGTTAACGTTATGTTAACGTCATGTGAACGAGTGCGGATACTCGCACCCGTTATAAACCTACAACTATAACAAGGGTTCTGTAATGTTAACTGTTAACAACACAGAACCCATTTTAGGTTTATAAGACTTAACTAGAGGATTTTTTATGTGTTATGTAAAATTTTTTCGTGTAAAGGAGATCGGTCATGTTTGTTAAGATCTTAATAAAAACTATTAATAATTAATATCGTAAAAAGACAACAATACGCCTTTTACGCACCTAAATATCTAACTACGGTAACATCAAAATCTTGATTAGACTAACCGCAGAATCTAAGAAGATGGATTTGGAGGCCACTCCGGAATCTCCTTTGTTTAGGCAAGAAGTAATGAGAGGATGTATACTATCATTACTTAGCATCAAACAAGATGAAACCTAGAACTTCTGATATTGTAACGCTGAGGAGATTCAACTGGTTCATAACTAAAGAAATCAGTCGTGTACGCCTTAACATAAAATGGTCAAGGCATTTCAACAGTTTTATAATATATAATCACTCAAATTCGTCCATAAAATTGACTTAAAACTTTTTATAAAAAGATCAAAAACCCTAATTTAAAAAAATGGTAATTAGACGCCATAAGACTACACCCACATTGACGTTGTAATGAAATGCTGCTTGCTGAAAGCTAAAGATAGTAGTGGAGTGTAGGCTGACTAGATAGTAGTGCCAATAACAATGAGGCAGGGTTCCTGCTTGGTTACGCAGCTTTCCTGGCTGGCTGCTTCTTCTTCCCGACTGTAAAGAAACCAGTAAATGATTGACGATACTCTATGAAAATTACATTAATCAGATGGCTGCACTGTTAGACTGCATAATATAACGCCGTATTAGAAACTGTGAGTAAGCTATAATACAGCTGGAACTGTTAATACCTTGGCGGTTAAATTTGTTAAGTACCCTAAAAAAGGATGCAATTTCTGAAAACAGTCATGACTCTTGAGGTAAATTTTAATTCTCCGGGATATCGGACGCACTTAAAAAAGAATGTAAACATCTTGATCTAGCGGACTCACCAACGCAATGGACGTATTGCGTGATCGGGGTACACAATGAGTGAGGCAGTCCTGGTTGGCACTCCTTCGCCTTGGTTTGGTCTCGCAAATCAACAACGCTCTCAACGCTTGGTCACATCTGAAAATTAATAACTTTGAAACATTTTGAAATTTGAAATTTGAAATTAAATGCTGTATAGAAACATTACATCCCCATTTCCACCTAAATTCGCGGTTTGGCCTATTTCGACCACCATCTCCCAATCACCTACTTGTACGCTCTGAACACTTCAAGCGGAGCTACAAAAGATGTGAATAATGAAAAATCCCATAACCAGTTTGTAGAATGACTTCTCTGTCTCCTGAAATCAGTGTTGCATGTTGGGTGTTGTGGGGATCTCACTTTCCTTGCCGCCTTCACTCTCAGTTGTCAACATAGTTTCTTTGAGGAGATATTTAAGGGGACTGTTCGTCGGATAGCCTGCATGAAAAATGGTGTTAAAAATATTGGCTTCTTCTTAAGACTTCATAATATGACTTTCTTAACGATCATGAGGATTCGCAAGCCATCAAGTGATGGCTACTGAGAAACCAAGCACAAAATAGTTATATTATCATCATCCTAAGCTTTTTTCCAAAAGTGATAAGTCCCATTCGAATACCTACTTACAATATAAACAGTTAAAAAAAATAGTATCCAAATCTACTTACGATGGGTATCGTATTGTACAAGGAAGTGAAGTTGGGTTTAACAGTTTGTGGGGTTGTGTACTTTCACTTGTTTGTCTCTTCATCTGAAATCATGTAGCAGATAACAAAAGAGCGATAACAAAAATAATCC